ATCCAGCTTCCTGTGTTGCTCTAAGCAACTGGGAGCTCAAGGCAGGCCAGAGAGGGTAATAGCCAGGAGCAATACGGTCCAGCACAGTGTGCCTTGCAGTGGACACAGAAGTGAATGTAACTGAATCCTGGCCTCTGAGAGGGAATCTTCTGGAGTGAACAGTATTGTTGGTAATAATTACTCTCAATTGGGGCTTTCTATCCTGCCTTAGGTCATTTAGCTCCCAGATAAACGATACACAACTTTTATATTTACAATAAGCCTTTAAAGCGCTACAGCTGGGCAGAATCTACCGTCTATGCTATTATGCCTATTTCCCTGCCAATACCCCCAAGATATGACTTGCCATGTTCTGCCTGAGCCACTCTTTTTCATTTCTTTTTAAGATTTACCTACTTAATTTATGTATGTGAGTACACTGTCACTCTCTTCAGAGACACCAGAAGAGGGCATCGGATCCCATTACAGATGGTTATGAGCCACCATGTGGTTGCTGGGAATGGAACTCAGGAACTCTGGAAAAGCAGCCAGTGCTCTAAACCGCTGAGCCATCTCTCTCCAGCCCCCAGCTCTACTACTTTTTGTTTTGTTTTTGTTTTTGTTTTTCGAGACAGGGTTTCTCTGTGTAGCCCTGGCTGTCCTGGAACTCACTCTGTAGACCAGGCTGGCCTCGAACTCAGAAATCTGCCTGCCTCTGCCTCCTAAGTGCTGGGATTAAAGGCGTGCACCACCACCGCCTGGCGCTCTACTACTTTTAATGAATAAGTTTTTAATGTCTTCATTTAAAACTCTATATGACAGATTTTAACCTTACATGACCAGATCTCCTTGGATTCCTCGATAATGAAGAGTTTCTCAGAGGCATTCTGAGTTCGAGGCCAGCCTGGTCTACAGAGTGAGTTCCAGGACAGCCAGGGCTACACAGAAAAACCCTGTCTCGAAAAACCTAAGATAGATAGATAGATAGATAGATAGATAGATAGATAGATAGATAAAATAAAGGGCCTAGGGGAGATGGATTCTAGCTAGTCTGTGTGGTACATGCCTGTGATCTCACAGTTGTGAAGTACACAGGGATCAGGACTAGCTTAGCAATCTGAGATTCCACTTGGAATAAGACATGCTTATTCTTTAATATAATTTATTACTTATTTTCATTTTATGTACATTGGTGCTCTGCCTGCATGTATTCATGTATGTCTGGGTGAGGATGTCAGATTCCCTGGAATTGGAATTACATACAGTTGTGAACTGCCATGTGGTAATAGGAATTGAACCCGGGTCCTTCTGAGCCATCCCCCCAGCCGCTATACACATGCTTCTAATAATCCATATGGCAGTATGAGACCTTTACCAATCTGTACTCTGAGTGCATGGCCCCCTCTAAATAATCAAATGTTCCTCCTTATTTAATGACTATCAAACGTGTATGGTTTGTTTGTTTGTTGTCTTTTGAGACAGGGTCTCTCTATGTAGTTCAGGCTATCCTGAAACTGTCTCATAGTGATCCATCTGCCTCTGCTTCCCAAGTGCTGGAAAGGCATGCACTGCTATGCCTGGCTAAATCTGTACAGTTTCTATTCAATAGGATTACATACATACATACATACATACATACATAGATACATACATACATAATTACTTACATCTGGTAGGAGGGCTGGCCTGTCATGGTTAAATATGGTTGGACCATAGGAGATGTGTCCTTGTTGGGATAGGTGTGGCCTTATTGGAGGAAGTGTGGGCTTTGAAGTCCTACTCTCAAGCTCTACCTAGTGTGGAAGATACAGTTCTCTTCTGGCTGCAGTCGGATCAAGATGCAGAAATCTCAGCTCCTTCTTCAGGACCATGTCTGCCTGCATGTTGCCAGGCTTTCCGACATGTTGATAACAGACTGAAACTCTGAAACGTAAGCCAGCCCCAATAAAATGTTGTCCCCTTAAGAGTTGCCTTGGTCATGGTGTCTGTTCACACCAGTAAAACCTGAGACACAGCAGGGAAACCTCGACTGAGACACAGCAGTGAACCCTCACTGAGACACAGCTTGAACTAGTTTTAGGTGCGTGTGTATATTGGTTACTTTTCTATTGCTGTGATTAAAAAAAAAATGACCAAGACAACTTGTAGTTGATTTGGGCTTAAGTTTTCAGAAGATTAAGAGTTCATGGCAGCAGGGAGTCATGGTAGCAGGCATAGACAGCATCAGGAACAGAAAAATGAGAGCTCACATTTCAACCATGAGCAGCAAATAGACTGTTGCTGGAATTTCTAACCCCAATAAGCCCATATAAAAAACACACAATCCAGTTACTATAATTATAAGCTATAAGCTGTAAGATCCCTGCTACTTTCGGTTTCTGCTGGCCACATGGTTCTGTTCCATCATGGCTTCCTCCTCCTCCTCTCCCTCCTCCTCCTCTTCTGCCTCCTCCTCTTCCTCTCCCTCCTCCTCCTCCTCTTCCTCCTCCTCCTCTTCAGTCCTCTCTCCTACCCCTCTTGGTCCCCTTCTCCCTCTCCACTTGCCCCCACTATCAAACCTCCAATCAGACCTTTCCCCTCCACTGCCCAATCACAGGCTCTAGCCTATATTGACCAGTTAAAATGGGGAGAAGTTTCACATGAGATCACCTGAGTATGTGATCGACTGCTCTTGCAGGCAGCCTCTTTTGAGAAAGCAGAATTAACATCAGAATACAAACAACATCAGGACAACTCACAATAACAAATGGCAACGTCAAAAGTCTTTAAACATTCAAAGCCTGCCCCATGTGACATACTTTCGCCAATATGGCCTTACTTTCTATCTCTCCCCAAACAGCACCAGCAACTGGGAACCAAGTGTTCAAATACAGTAGCTTATGGGCAACATGCTCATCGAACCCAATCAGTATATAATAAGCCAAAGTGTATCTTCCAAGTGAACACTTAGGAAAATCCCCTATTTGACATCTTATATCTATACGTAAATGGGCTTACACATGATTAAAATCAGTTGCATTATGGGCATTAACATGCACAGTGAGCAAAAGCTACCAATCAAAATAGAGGAGCACCCAAAGCAAGAATTCTGGTAACTACTGAACCTCATAAAAGAAAGTTCCACCACGGACTGCTCTTCCAGAGGTCCTGAGTTCAATTCCCAGCAACCACATGGTGGCTCACAACCACTTATAATGTGATCTGATGCCCTTTTCTGGCACACAGGTATACATGCAATCCACATATACATAAAATAAATAAATCTTTAACCCCTCCCAAAAAAAGAAAGAAAGAAAGCTCCACTAACAGGACCTGCAGTCAGAGTTGACATTGTGTCTGACTCTGACCTGCTTTGAATAAGATTTCCTTGCTACTTTCTCAAATCTGTGTCTTCATGTCAATTCCCTGAAAAAGAACCAAGAACCTGGAAACATCTGGCTCAGCCCCTAGCCACTGGTAAAAATTGGGATGCTGAGGCAGAGGGCTATTATGAGCTCAAGAGCTACATAGTGAGATCCTATTGAAAAAATGTAAACTGTACATAAATATTTTTTCCTCTAATAAGCCTCTTATGTAGTCAAAACTGACTTTGAACTCTTAATTCTGCTATCTCTGGGCATACAGTCATTCCCTACTATGTGTGTTTAAGTTAATTTTTTTAAATACAAGATCTTTATTGGTTCCATGTTTTGAGAACAGCTTCCACAATATTTATTTATATTTGTGTTTGGGTGTTTTGTTTGGATGTACGGAGGCCAGAAGAGGGCATCAGATACCCTGGAACCGCAGTTATGTTCCAGGGGATCTGGATTATTTCGAGCAGCCATATAGGTGCTGGAAGAGCAGCCAGTGCTCTTAACTAATGAGCCATCTCTCTAGCCCTTAATTAATTATTTTTATTTGTGGTCACAGGTTTGTGTGTGGAGATCAGAAGATAACTTTGTGAAGTCATTTCTCTCCTTCAACCTTTATGTGGGTCCTAGGGATTAAACTTGGGTAGCCTAGGCTTGGCAGCAAGTGCTGTATAGAATGAGCCTCCTGGGTGAGCCCAGCTTTCTAAAAGGGAGCCATCTCACTGGACCCCTTGTTTTGTTCTTTTGAGACAAAGTCTTGACATCAGTGATTTATATATGAAGATTATATATAATATACAAGTACATTATAACATATATGACAATATATTATTATAACACAATAATTTTAGAATCAACCAAGACTACGATTGATTGCAAATGGTGTAATTCGTGTAGGCCCTGAGTTACTAGAGAATGCCCAGGAAATGACGTTGGAGAAAGGATGGGGCCGTGGAAGTAAAGGAACCAGAAAGGAGGGTGGAACCCAAGGATCTGCGGAACCAGGGCCATGTGGGAGTAAAGGGGGAGAACCTTTCTGCAGGTGGTGAAGGCCAGCAACCCCAGGATGATAGGATGCGCGAGCACGCAAAATACAGAAAGAAAGCAGCGCCCTGAAGCATCCCGGCTTCCACCTCCACAGTACAAGGTAGCTGGGACAAAGTCATTGAGCCAGGGCTAATTCAGCAGGCAGCAACAATGGGCGAAGGATGAACAAATGATAAAGGCTGGACCAATGGGTGAGGGATGGACCAATGGGCGAGGGCTGGGCTAATGACAAAGGACGCTGCGCAGTTAGGAATGTTTGTCTGAATAATCCAGTTAGCTTCAATGAAGAACACATTTCCCTTCCCTCGAAGGGACAGACAAAAACCTTTAAATAAACATCCCAGCTTCCTCCGCAGGGAGTCAGAGTCAAATACTGGGAGAAGTAAGTGGAAAGACGTCAGTAAACCATACCGGGGACCCTAAACCCAGGTTGCTCCATTCCTACTGGCTCCGCCCCCTTCGCGGGTAATGGACCCGCCCCTCACGCCTATTCCTGTGGCGTTCAACTCGTCGCTGCGAAGGTAATATCCGGATAGGCGGAATTCGACAAAGGAATGGGGTCCCCTCACTGCCATACTGCGCATGCTCGCCCCGTGACCCTAGCTTGAGGTGACGGCGGGAGCCAAGGCGGGGGACCCAAAGCAGTGAGGCTGAGGGACCCGCCGCGGCTCCGTCGTCCGAGAGGCACGGCCTGCTGCCGTCGGTGAGGACGGGCCCCCAGCGGGCGGGAGGGTCCTGGCTCGAGAAGCGACTCCCAGCCTAGCGGTCCCGGGATGCGGGACCTGTACTAGGAAGGGTCCCTGGCTCTGCCCCTCACAGATTCAGGCCTCTTTCTTGTCGGCCATCCGCGAGGCTCTTCCTTTCTCCATGCTTCCCTTTCACAAACCCACACTACCCCTGGACACCTCCAATCTGGGACAACCCCCACCCCCATGCGCCCCTACCCCACTCCACTCTGCCTGGTACATCCCCATCCGTAACCTCTGCAATTCTGTTACATATGCCCTGGGGTGGGGGTGGGGGGTCCTTGTCCCAGTGGCAGAGTCTGAGGGCTGGGAGCTGGAGAGATGCTTCAGGGACTGAGACATTGGTTGGAGCGGGTCAGGGAGCCAGGGCAAGGGTGGTGGAAGATACCATTCTGAGTCATGGTACTTAGGGAAGGGAGGTACCCTTACCTGGGACCCCCACATTGGAGAATGTTTGCTATGGTCTGCATTATAATACAGTTCTTGACCTTTTGGGACGGTTACTGCCATTTTCTTCTGTCTCCCTGTGGGATGTGTCCCTCACACCCCAGGGTCATACCATTCCTTAGGAAGTCCAATTACAGTTCTCCAGGACTGTGCAGGACAGTTACTATGGCAGCAGCTGTTAGTAACCTGAGTTCAAAGACCTTACCCTTCATCTGATGCTAGCATCTCCTATTACACAGATCAAAGCAGCCCAGAGAGGGTGAGGGGTCTGTCCTTCCAGTTAGGACATGTTTCATTCTCATCTTTAAGAAGGTAATTTTGTCAATCACCCCAGGATAACAGCTGAAGTTCCAACCCTCAGAGCCTCATCAGTAAGAGTTTGTACTTTTAACTGTTCTATGGCCACCAAACAATAATCACCATCAATCTGGTGACTTAAAATGACATGTTATCGTATGTTTTGGAGGCCAGAACTCAGATATGGGTGTCACACAGCAATCCGAGTACAGCAGTGGTGTATTCATTTCTGAGGCGTTAGGAGAGAGACATTTGATTTGCCTCTTGTAGCTTCTAGAAACCTACCTTGTTTGGCTAGCACGCCCTTCCTCAGTCTTCGAAGCCCCTTCTCAAATAATGAGCCCTGTCTCTAGCTTTATCTTTCCTATTCTTTGCATCTCATTCCCATATTTTTCTTCTCCCTTTCCTTTTTTTTTTTTTTAAAAAATGTTTTTATAAGCCGGGCGGTGGTGGCGCACACCTTTAATCCCAGCACTTGGGAGGCAGAGGCAGGCGGATTTCTGAGTTCGAGAGTTCAAGGCCAGCCTGGTCTACAGAGTGAGTTCCAGGACAGCCAGGGCTACACAGAGAAACCCTGTCTCGAAAAACCAAACCAAAAAAAAATGTTTTTATATGTCAATGTGCCACATGTGTGAAGGCCAGACAGGGCACCGTGTCCTCTGAGGTGGACAGGTGGTTGTATGAGCTACCTGATGTGGGTGCTAGCAACCAAACTCCCATTCTCTGGAAGAAAAGGAAGCAGCTGACCACTGAGCCATCTATCCAGATCCAGCCTTGTTTCTTTTGATTTCTTTTTCTTTTCTTTTGTTTTCTTTTCTTTTTTTTTTTTTTGAATGAGAGTGTGTATGTGCCCTGTGGCAGTCAGAGGGCCACTTGTGGGGCTTAGCTCTCTCCTACGATATGGATCCTGGGATGGAACTCACGTCTTGAGGTTGGTAGAAAGCACCATTACCTGCTAAGCCATTTCGATAACCCTTGTTTTGGAGACGGGTTCTTAATAAGTAGGTTTGACTTGAACTCCCAATCCTCCTGTTTCTGGGATTATAGGTGTATGCCACTGTCATCAGCTTCTAAGTACTGGGACCTGGAAATCTCAGGATTTATTATTCTGCTGCTCACAGACCTGAAGATGTGTGAAGGATTCCTGCTCATTGTGTGCTCTTGGGTCTTGAGTTATTTTTGCTTTTCTGAGAATCCTTAGTCATGACTAAGGTCATGAGAGCCACTTCACTTTGCAAGGCTGGGGACTGAATATGGGCAAGCTCTCAATGGAGCTACACCAACTCTTGCTTCACTTTTTTTTGCTGGAGGAGGGGTGTGTGTGTGCAGATGTGCAATGCCTCTGTGCACGTGCAGAGGCTAGCAGAGGATATTGAATGTCTCCCCCAGTCCCCCTTCATCTTATTCCCTTGAGACAGAGTGGCTCACTTGAACCAGAAGCTCACCATTTTGGCTAAGCAGATTGGTCAGCTAGCAAGCTCCAGGGATGTGAAGAGCACAGGGAATCTCTACTTCCCAGTGCTGGGTTTCAGACATGTTCAGCTAGGCCTGGCTTTTACATAGAGGGTGAGAACATGGACTCATGTCCTTAAGCCTGGGCAACACATGGCCTTACGGGACTGTCTCATCCACAGACAGAAGATATCTCTGTCCTGCTTCACTCTTCTGAGTGATGGGATTTTGGGTGTGAGCCACCAAATCTGGCTTCATGTATGTATGTATGTATGTATGTATGTATGTATGTATGTACATATGTATGTATGCATTTATTTATAGACAGAGTCTCATGTAGCCCAGGCTGGTTTTGAACTCCTGATCCTCCTGCCTCAGCTTCATAGTGAGAAGTCCCTTTTTCTCCAAGTAGTAGACTAATAAAAAAAATTTTTACCTTGTTGAGTTAATGTATCTTATCTTTTAAAATGTTAAGTATGTGGCTCCTGCTAAAAGTGAGTTCATGGAGATCGCAGTTTGAGAAGAGTCTGGATTGATGGCGCAGCAGTGTAAAGAACACTTGCTGCTCTTTCAGAAACCCCATGTTGGGTTCCCAGCACCAGTGTTGGGCAGCTCACAACTGCCTGTAACTTCAGCTCCAAAGGATCTGACACTCTCTTCTAGCCTCAGAGGATGCCTGACCATTCGACATTCACTCACACAGACACACATAATATACATAAAAATAAGAGAGAAATCTTTCAAAAACAATCCGGGGTGATAGTGAAAGGTGAGATCTCTCATTCTGACCATCACCCCCAAATTCGCCCCAGATATAGGCACTGTTTGGAATCTTGGCAGATCTGAAGAGCTTTAGCCAGGCATTTTGCAGAACAACCCATAATGTGGGGTTGTGATTTCCTAGGGTCCCACAGAGGTGAAGGGTCTTATCCCAGCACAGCACAGGTGTGACTCATCATAGATACTGCTGACTTTGATCCCGCAGTGTGGGTGTGATGTGTCAGTTAGCCCCACTGCACTTACTAGTCTTACCATTCCTGTTTCCTTGGCAGTGAGTCACTAGATGACGGGGAGAGGACCTAAGGTCCATCTTAGGGGGGAGCATACACTTTAGAATGCTCTTTAGAATTCTGTTCATTTGAATTCTTTTTTTTAAATTTATTTATTTTATGTATATGAATGCATTGCTGCTCTCTTCAGACATAGCAGAAGAGGGCATTGGATCCCATTACAAATGGTTATGAGCCACCATGTAGTTGCTGGGAATTGAACTCAGGACCTCAGGAACAGCAGTCAATGCTCTTAACCACTGAGCCATCACTCTAGCCCTCCCTTGAATTCTTTCACCCTAGCCAGGCCTTGAACTCTGTAGGTGGCCAAGGGTGACCTTGAACTCTTAAACCTCCTGCCTCTACTTCTGAGATTATAGGCATGTGCTACCATTAGAGGTTCAGGTGGTGTTGGGACTCGAATCCATGGCTTTCTGCATGCTATAAAGGCACTTTCCCAATTCTATTCCCAGCCCTGGAATTCATGAGGAAGACCTGGGCCTTCTCCAGTATTTATTGTTATGTGTATCATGTTGGTCTTGTGGATATCTATCTTATTCTTAGATTGTTATCCTGACTACTTAAGGTAGGATCCCACTCTGGAAAAGTTTTCTTCATAGCTGGCTTTTCTTACTGGAGTTGGCTTTTGGCCAGTGAGCCTGGTTCCAGTCTGATTCTCACCAGCTGTGTGGTATTGGACCATTCCACTAAGTGCCCAAAGTCACCTCCTTTAAATTTATTTTTTAAGCATGATCTTTTTTTATTTATTTAAGATTTATTTGTTTTACATATATGAGAACACTATACCTGTCTTCACACACACCAGAAGAGGGCATCAGATCCCCTTACAGATGTTTGTGAGCCACCATGTGGTTGCTGGGGATTGAACTCAGGACCTCTGGAAGAGCAGTCAGTGCTCTTAACCACTGAGCCATCTCTCCAGCCCTATTTGTTTATTTTGTGTATATGAGTACATTGTTACTGTCTTCAGACATACCAGAAGAGTGCCTCATATCCCATTACAGATGGTTGTGAGCCACCATGTGATTGCTGGGACTTGAACTCAGGACCTCTGGAAGAGCAGTCAGTGCTCTTAACTGCTGAGCTGGATGATGGTAATTCTTGGGAGGGAGGTTATTGGGTTACAGGAATGAAGATCAAAATTGAACTCAGATCTCATTCTTGGCTCAGGTTGCTTTGTGCTGGCCTTGGGTAGGAAGGCCAGTGGGGCAGGGTCCTGGCTGCTTCCTCATACCAGTACATCCAAGGGGTTTCTGGACCACTCTGTTGTGTGTGTGCATGTGTGGTGTAGTGTGTGTAGACATGTGAAGTGCAGTGTGTCTGTGTGCTCTCAGCTGTGTTCTCAGGGCATGTGTGAGTATTTTCCTCTACTTCCCCTTGGTCTTTTCTCCCTGAACCCAGAATGCACTGTTTTTGGGCAGACTAGCAGGCAAACTATCCCCTGGAGTCTACCTGACTCTGTTCCCCTCCCCCAAATACTAGGGCTCCAGGGGTTGCCTCACTGGACTTTCTGTTGGAATGCTGGGTATCAAAACTCGGGTCCTTATGTTTGCACACCAAGACTTTGCTCACTGAGCCACACTCCCAGCTCTCTGGATCACTTAATTTTTTGTCAACTTGTGTTGTGTTTATATGTCTGAAACAAGGTCTCCTCCCCCACCCCCGTGCTGGGGATTGACCACGAGAGTGCTAGACAAGTGCTGTGAACTATATCCCCAGCCTAAAAGTAGGATTTTTTTTTCTTTTAAACAAAGTCTTCTTAAATAGTCCTGGATGTCCTGGAACTCCCTATATAGACCAGCCTGGCCTCGAACTCGGATATCTGCCTGCCTCTCTTTCCTAAATGTTGGAATTGAAGGCACGCACCATCATACCTGCTCCTAAATTTTAATATGTTTAGTTTTATTCTAGTGATTTGTATTGCTCTTGGTTACTTGTTGCATAACTTTTTTTGAAGTTCTGAAGATCTAACAGGACCTTGTCACATGCTACATTTGAGCACTACCACGGAGCTGTCCCTAAGCCCGGCTCATGTATGTTTTATTTTCTGACATTTACAGTGCACAGGAGGCCCTTTTCTTTTGCATAATGGACTAATGGGGAAATTACCTTGTGAATAAGTATATCTTCTATGTTTTTAGATATTAAATATAGTACCACGGGGGCAAGGGAATGAGTTCATGACCGTACAAGACAGTAAACGGGTAAGGAGTGAAATCACTCATTCCATCTAGCACCCTAAGCTACACCCCAGATCCATTTGGTAGCACCCAATCCTCCTCTACTGACTGCTTTGCCTCCTCCCTTAGGACAGAGCCTCTGGACTCCCAGGTTCCTGGCCAGGGAGGAGGAGGAAAAGGCGAGACCTATCTGCCAGGGCTGAGTGTGGCCTGAAGGCCAGGCTATTGGTCTTGGGATGCCCCAGCCCAATCCCAGTGAGCAGGAGGGTGAGAGCATGAAGGCCGGCCAGGAGCCAGCTCCCCAGCCTGGTACAGATGTGGTCCCAGCAGCCCCCAGGAAGCCCAGAAAATTCTCCAAACTGGTCCTGCTGACAGCCTCCAAAGACAGCGCCAAAGTGGCGGGGGCCAAGCGCAAAGGAGTACACTGCATCATGTCCCTGGGAGTGCCAGGCCCAGCCACCTTGGCTAAGGCCCTCCTCAAGACTCATCCTGAGGCTCAACGGGCCATTGAAGCAACTCCCCAGGAGCCCGAGCAGAAGCGCAGCAAGCTGAACCTGGGTGAGGCTCTTGTAGCTGACGCTGCCCCCTCAAAGATACCTGGTCCCTTGCAGAGCTGGCACAGGCATCTGGCTCCAGTTCTAAGAGTCCCTGGTGCTCTCTTTGCCTTCGTCATCCAAGTGTCCTTGTCCCTTTGAGTTCATAAAGAGTACCCTCTGCATGGGGTGCTTGCCTGGCCTCATCGTAGGTGTGTCAGAGGTTGAGGAGGGTCTGCTGCCATGCACTGCATGCTAGAGGCTGTTGACCACTCTCAAGGTCTTGACTACGTATGAGTGTTTCCAAAGGCCTGAAGTCTACCATCCATCCACAAGCATTTCATAGCCAGTAACAGTCATTTTCCTCACATTTGTAGTCTTGCATCTGTGTGCTCACTGGGCACTGGGACTCGGGGCAAATAGGACCTGTAGGGACTCCCCCAGGCTCACCTGCACTAAAACCTCCACAAAGGACAGAACAGAGCTCCAGAGAATTGTCAGAAAGCAGCCTTAGAAGTTGCTGGTAGACAGGACATGGGGCTTAGTGGGAAAGTTCAGCGCCCTCTACTGGCCACTCCTGTGGCTGTGCCCCTTCTTCCAATGGGACTGGGTGGGCGGTGAGTGGTGACAACAAACTGTCCCTTTCTCTACACCCAGCTCCGGCTAGCCCCATGCCAAGTTCCTGGGACCCATGGTCTCCTCAGCTCTCCCTGGGAAGAGTGGGGTGGCAGGTAGCAGACAGATTGACTGGGGACAAGGAAAAGAGGCTAGCTGGTATTGGAGGAAAACAGTAAGTGGCCAAGTGGAGTATTCAGTGTCAGGGCATTTGGGGGGTGGGAGGGAGCTGAGGTGGGGAAAGAAAGCAGAGGTAATGGCCACAGGACGTACTTATACACAGAAGTGCCAGTACACATAGTCCCCAAAAACACTAGAGCTAGAAGGAGATTCCCTAGGCCCACAGCACCTGGAAGCCCAGGGAGGGTATAAGACACCTTTCTGGGTGAAGCTGTAGGTTCTCTAACCTGTGTGTCTTTGTGTGTGTGTGTGTGTGTGTGTGTGTGTGTGTGTGTACCTTGTATCCATTTCTGTGTGCTCTCTGTGTGGCTGTTGTCCATGTGAGCATCTCTGTCATTGTCTCTTGTGTCCATTTGTATGTCTTTTACCTATAAGGGTGGCTAGGGGTCAGTCTTCAGCGGTTCCCCCTCTCCCCTGGGCTTGGAGCAGGAGATACTGTAACTCAACACACCTTTAGGGCTGGGCTACTCAGCGGCAGAGAAATGAACTGACCTCTTCCCAACAGAAGCAGCACCTACCTGTCAGGCCCGAGATGCTGGGGATGAGAAAGGCTGCAGTCCTGTGCTTCCATGTTCTGCCTTTGCACAGGAGGCCCCTGGGGATCAGTCATGCACTCAACCATCAAGAGGAAGGTGGGGAAGCCCCCTTGCTACCTACCATCAGTCAGTTGGACTGCAAGGGATCCTGCTGCACTGGGAGAAACTTCATGTTGTTGTTGGCCTAAGGTCATAGAGTTTCATAGTCACGCTGCCCATCCCTCACCACTAGGCACTAAAATCTTAGGCAAGCCAAGATGGAGTGCCCATAGCTACAAGCCTGGAGATTTTGGGGGACCATAAGGATCCTCAGCCTCCTACCCACAGCATGAGCATGTATGGCGAGCAAGCTCTTTGTGAGTGCTTCTTCTAGTCAGTCCTGCTCTGGGTGCATCCCTGTCTGCTCACCTGGCTCTCCCCAGCACAGGGGTAGAGGAAGGGGTCTCCAAGCCTCATGGGATGCTGATCGTAATGTCACTATCCTGAGGCCACCTGCACAGAAGGAGAGAGATGGACTCTAGCTGGGAAACTGGTCTTCCCACAAGAGTTGGGAATAGAGACATCATTTGGAGCCCTTCCGACCATGGGAGACCTTGTCTTGCTTGTTGTATAAGTTCAGCTCAGCAGTGCCGTGGCTTCTGTGAAAACTGAAACAAAACTCACTCCAGATGACACACAAAGGAAGGATGGCACCCCTTCAGGGCTGTGCAGGGCAGATGTTCTTGATCAGTGGACAACCTCTGTCCTGTTCCTACAAGCAGACCTCCCTGTCTCTGCCCCCACCCCTGACCAGGTAGTGACCATACCATTCAGTCACTTCCTGCTCAGCTGTTTTCTAGAAATGACTTAAGGAATGTTTGTGACCCTGAGCTTGTGGCCTTTTAGGAACAGCGTCCTCATTGTTGTAGTTCTCTAAGTCAGTTAACAAACACATCTGACACTTTACTGACTCAAAAGAAGCTAGGGTGAGAGTGGCCCTCAGCTTACAGTAGAAGAGCAGGAGCCCAGGGCCAGCCTTTGCCAGCCCTCCTTTGTTCTGTTACCAAGCTGACCTATCTGTCTTTCTTCCAGATACAGACGGTCCAGAAGACAATGGAGAGTCAGGGGTGTCGTCTTCAAGTCCAGAAGAGACCACTGTGCTCCCCAAGGCCCCCAGCATTTCCCCATAACCTTGGTAACTGCTGCTACATAAGTTACTTTTATAAGTAAGAAACAAAAGAGAGAGAAAATAAAAGCAGCTGTGTGCTATTTCCCACCATGGGTAGTTTTTGTTGTTGTTGGTGGTGGTGTGTTTGTTTGTTTGTTTGCTTTTTCCCCTGATAGGATTTCTCTGAACTCCCTCTGTAGGCCAGGCTGGCCTCAAACTCAGATCTGCCTGCCTCTGCCTTTCAAGTTCAAGGACTACCAGCACCGCTAGGGTGAGGTAGGCATAAAACAAAACTTTGGGTCCTTGGCAGCCAGCTATAACACCACCACTCTGGAGACTTCCTTTCTGATTCCTCTTCCTATCCCAGACTTGGCTGGCCTGAGCCACTAGATCTGGTACAGTCTCTCTTCAGGCCTCCAACTCGTAGCCTCATGGCTCCCTTGACCTGGAAAATGGGCTCTTGCATAACTCAGAGTGGCCCCCTAGTCTTCGTCTTTGTGCTGCTGGTAGCCTGAAGTGGGGCACTGCGAGCTCCTTCCCTGGACCCAGGACAACCTGATCTCCTGCCTGACTCTTCCCTCCACAAGAGGCCTCAGATTCTCTCTAGTTGAATCCTCCATGGTTGCCATGAGTCACTGTCCTTCCTGACCTAAGGCGACCTCTAGAAACCCTCAGGTTGCTGGTTCCCAGGCACAGAGCCCCAGCCTCCTCCCTAGAGGCACCACCAAGGAAGGATGAGCTGCACCCGACTTTTCAAAGATCTGCACAGAATCATCACAAGAGTGGAAGGCAACCGAAGAGATCACACAGACACACAGACACAGACACACAGACACACACACGCACACGCACACGCACACAAACCCAGCCTGAGCCCCTCTCCAACTTGTGGACTGGAGAGAAAGGAAAGCATAGTTGCCCTCCAATCCCTAAGTTGGGACTTCCCAGGGTCGCCTCCAGCTTCCTCACTTACGGACCTTATTCTTTGAAAACCACTTGTGAGTATGAAAAACATTACCTTTTTCAATGTAGGGCCCTATGTTCCAAACATGTCTTCAGAACTGATTGGCTCAGAAACAGATATTTGGCACATTTCTCTCCTGCCATTTTGCTGAATTATTTTTACATGGATTTTTTTTTAATTAAAAAAAATCCTTTATTAATTTTGTCTGCATGTATGTCTGTGTAGTGTGTGTATGCAGAATCTTTGGAGGTGAGAAGGTGTTCAGGTTCCCAGAAAGCACAGTCACAGACAGTTGTGAGCGGCCATGTGGTTGCTGGGAATTGAACCTGGGTCCTCTGGAAGAGTAGTCAGTGCTCTTAACCAGGGGGCGGTTGTTCCACCCCCATGAGAGCTGTTGTTTATAATGTTGCTATTCTGCTCCTTTTAAAATAGAATCCACTGTGGTTTCTCTTTTGCTGTGTGCTTTGATTGTCTAGTTTTGTCAGATGGTAAGTGGACTGGGGCAGGGTGTGATAATTATTCCTTTATCCCAGCATTTAGGAGACTGGGTGGTGGTGGTGGGGACAGGACTTGAGGTTAGAGAGCTGGCTAAGTTGGTAAATGCTACTGCTGCTGCTGAATTATGAGGACTGAGTTCTAGCATCCACACTTAAAAAAAAAAAAAAAAAAAAAAAAAAAAAAAAAGCATGATGTTGTGGTGCGGGCCTATAACCCCAAGGCTTCATGGACAGAGAGAAGGATCCCGCGGCATGTTGGTCAGCCTGTCTAGCCAAATCAACAAGCTTCAGGTTCAGTGAGAGACTCGGGTTCAAAAAATAAGAGGGAGCTCAGTTGAGGAAGGCACCCAATGTTGACTTCTGGCCTCCACACACAGGGACACGCACGCACGCACGAACGCACACACCCACACACACCTGAGAGCAGAATCAGGAGAATGACTAGAGGAAAGCAAGGAAGAAGAGGGGCCAGATGGGAACAAGGCGACCCTAACCTTTGTGTGTAAACGTCTATGTTTTCCTCCAGCCTATGTATCTAGTCTATGGACTAGAGTGGCCGGCTCTATCCAATACTCCTAGATTTCCATCGCAGAGACTGTCTCACAGTTGTTCCTGGCGACCACATAAATGGGGGCGCGCTTGCGCCGTTCCAGCATCTCTAAGGTGCGTGGGTTGTGAGCGCCTCCTGGAGGCGGTCCTGGATTACCACTCTCAGTCAGTTCTGCACCGCAGATTGCCAGAGCAAGGACTCCTTAAGCGCACGTGGCTTCTTGCACTGCATGGTGCATGGTGTATTAGATTTATTGCTCCCACTTCCTGCCCCATTCCCACACTACATAAACTAACACTACCAGGGAAGGGGTCTCTGCTCGAGCCACTGAATTTCCCAGTGTGGAGACTATAAGGAGCAAACAGTATATGGGATGGAGAGCCGAGAACCCAGATTTGAGATCACCAAATTGCAGAGGGCTTACAGCTTCTGCTCATGTGCGGAATAGATGTGTGGATAACAGTAGACCTGTGTGTGTGCGTGTGGGAGGGGGGTGTTGCATGAAACTGGTGTTTCATCAACTCTGAAGTGAAGGGACAAGGCAAATGTCCTGCTAATCCCAGGACTTTTCAGCTGTGTTAAAAGCAAGAAAGAGGTACAAGGGAGAGCAAGCATCCTCCCTGTGGGAGCAAGCCTCTTGCTTCTGCCTCCTCAATACTGGGGTTACAGGTGAGCAATCATCATGCCTGTTTTTAAGCGTTGACTTTTAAAACAGGGCTCCTTGTATCCTCAAACTCCTGATTATTCTTCTTTTACCTCCCAAGTAGCTAGGAGTTCAAGTGTGGACCATCATACCTGGCCAAACTGGCATTGTTCTTGCTGTGTTTGAGGTTGTCTCAAAATCCTTAAGGACTGGGATTGCAGATGTGGCTACCATACTCAGTTCTGTTTGTTTTCAAAGATTTGTCTGTCTGTCTGTCTATTTATTTACTTATTAGTTAGTTATTCAAGACAGGTTATTTCATGTGTATTAGTATTTGTCTGCATGTATGTGTCTATAACATGTACATGCCTGATTCTAGAGGAAGCCAAGAGAGGGTGTCAGATCCCCTAACTGAACTTGTCCTCTGAAAGAGTGGCTTAAGTGCTGAGAACCTCTAAGGCAGTGGTTCTCAACCTGTGGGTCACAGCCTTCTTGACAAATCTCTATCTCCAAAAAATATTTGCATTATGGTCTATAACTAGCAATATTACAGCTATGAAGTAGCAATGAAAATAATCCCATGGTTGGGGGTCACCACAGCATGAGGAACTGTATTAAGGGGTCCTAGCATTAGGAAGGTTGAGAACCACTGCCTAAGCCATCTTCCCAACACTGTTTGTTTTTGGAGACAGTCTCTGTAGAGTCAGCTTCCCAGGACTCACTGTGTAGCCCAGGATGGCCTCATTCTCCTGCCTCCGTCTCCGCAATTCTGAGATTACAGGGTTGTCTCTCCACATTTTCTTTTCTTTTTTTTTTTTTACATTTCTGAAAAAACCCTTTACTTTCTCTTTCACTTACTTATTCATCTATAGTGTTGTTTTTAAGACCCAGGGTCTCATGTAGACAAGGCTTGCCTTTCATTCTCTATATAGCTGAGGATGGACTTGAGTTCCTGATTCTCCTGCTTCCATTTCATTTGTGCCACACACAGCCAGCTCCTGGATTGGGACTGGAGGATATTTCAGGGCTTCAGTGTGCTGCATAAGAACATTCTTGGGAACTGGAGAGATGGCCCAGTTATTAAGAGCATTGGGTTGCTCTTCCAGGTTTGTTGTCCAGCACCCACATGGTGGTTCATAATGCTGGGCAACTCCAGTTCCAGGGGATCCTAAGCCCTCTTTCTGGCCTCCACAGGCACCAAATATGCACATGGTGCACAGATACGCATGCAGACAGAACACCTACATACATAAAATACACTTAAAATATGTCAGAAGTATGCTTTTAAAAAAATTTTTAAAAGAAAGGAAGGAAGGAACAAGACTGGGTGATCCCAGTACTCCCCAGTGTTGGGGAGGCAGAGGCAGGCTGATCTCTGAGTTCGAGGATAGCCTGGTCTATAGAGAGCATTCCAGGACAGCCAGGGCTACCCAGAGAAACCCTGTCTCAAAATAAATAAATAAATAAAATAAAAATTTAAAAATGTAAAAAAAGAAAGTTCTGAAGGTCACAGGATTAAAGAAACATTTAAGTTAACCACTACAACTTCCTAAGAACGCAATTAAATCCTATAAAGGGTCCTGTTCTCTCTGTCAATACCGCCGGCATCCTTTTAGTGATGACGCACAGCCTGCATCCCTGCTATAAATTCACCTGTCGCCCCGCCCCCCCGCCCCCCCCCCCCCCCCCGCCCCCCCCCCCCCCCCCCGCCGGATGCAGTAGCGGGACCTTGGGTTGTCCCGCCTTCTTCACGTTAGTAGACCCGCCCCTGATGCTGATTGGCTAGGGTGTCAAATTGACAATGCGCAGAGAAGACCCGGAGAATGGTATCCACCTCAGGAATGGCTCCGCGCCTCTGTTGCGCATGCTCACTAGTAGTCGCTAGGCTTTCCAAGCCGGAGTCTCTCGGGGGCGCGCGCGCGGGCTCGCTCCCCAGGGGGCAGTTGGCGGCGGGAGCGGGCGGCGGGAGCGGGCGGCGGGGTCGTGGTTCCTAGAGCAGCCTGGGCTGCTAGGCCGGCGCCTCCGTTGGCGGATACTCATACGAAGGACCGGGCGGCTCAGCCGCCGGAGAGGCAGGGCCCGCTGCGGTCGGTGAGGACGGGCCCCTACGGGTGGGAGGGTCGGGCCAGTGGAGCGATGCTTGGTCCGGCATCCCTGGGATCGCGCCCGGTGCTGGGAAGGGGTCCCAGCTCTGCAGCTCGGGCTTGGCGCGCCTCCTTGTCGGACATCCACGGTGCGCCTCCTTTCTACTTGATCTCTCCATCAACCCACCCGACCCCTGTACCGATCTTAACACCTCTAAATCCGGGACCACATATTTGCCCATCTTCCTTGGACTGTGTCCACCCAGTGCATGTCCATCCAGCTCTATCCTCCGTCGCGGCCCATCCTTGGCGGCCGCATGTCCCAGTGACCTTGCACTTTTTGCCGGTTGTTACCCCTCCTAGTTCAGACTATAGATTGCCCATTATGGCTTTCAAACTTTGTGACGCATTCTAGACCGAGAAATATGTTTTATGTGTATATTCTGTGCCTGAAGATAGATTCGTGAATCACAAGTTTAAAGAGAGCCGCTTACCAGTCTCAAATGACGCAGATGTATTTGGGCTCTGTTCTAATTCATTCTGTTCCGTTCCATTCCGTTCCATTCCATTCCAAATGACTGACTGACTTGCTAACCCATTGATTCAAGTCCTAGTTTATCTGACAGCTTTAAACCTTCCTTTACTTCTTACTCTACAATCAGATAACCATTCCAAAGAAAGACCTTTTTTTGTTATGGTGGCAGTTTTGTTTTGTTTAACTTCTTTGCTTTCCAGGGTCCTTACTATCGCTGGGGCTTGGTTTAGATTTCAGGCATGATGCACGTATGTTCATCTCATTGTTCTCCCAAGTGCTACTAGTCTGACTTGTGGAGAAAACCCACATATGAAGTAGGGGAGAGCTGATGCTACATGCTCACCTATGCAGATGACGATGGTTTTAGCTGGGGTGGGGGATGTGAAACTGAATTGTTAAGAAGAGTAATTTGTCAGCTTGTCGGTCCTCTGGAAGACTTGGAGTGGTCAAAGGTGAAGACCATCAGAGCACTGCCCAGACCTAGCTGGGCTGAAGAGGAGGCAGTGAGGGAAGAAGCCGGTGATGACAGGAAAACAGACGGAAGATGGTTGTGATTACATACACAGGCACATCAGTCCATCTAGCCAAGGTTCTGGTCTAGGATTGGGGAAATATATCAGTTGGCTTCCCGTGTCTCCTGTGGGTTTTCCTTATCATTCTGAGTTCTGAGTGTGTGTATGTGTGTTCGTGTGTGTGCCTCTGTGCATGCATGCAGAAGACTGTTTATCACTCTCTACCTTATTCCTGTTTGTTTCAGGACGGGGGTTTTTCTATGTAGCCCTGATCTGTGGGCCTCAGGTGGCCCTAACATTCACAGAGATCCTCCAGCCCCTGCCTCCTGAGTGCTGGAATTAAATGTATGTCCCACCATGTCCTGCTGCTGTGTCTACATTGCTAAATTGCTTTAAAATAGTATCCTCGGTTCACTGTCCCATCCCCACCACCACCACCACCAGAAGACACCCAGGAGTATTGGTTCCATGACAACTTGGGGAAAGAGGTGGTAGTGGGTTTTATTTAGAACATAAAGGCCAAAGGTTCCAGTGAACATCGTACCCTGCCCTGCCCATCACAGTGAAATGAGATCTGATCTAGAATGTCACCTGTCCCTAGAATGATGCTTGTACACACACTCCCAGGATGTAATGGAAGGAAGGTGAATAATCCTGTGTTCAGTCTGTGTTGTAACCACATGGATTATTAACCAGGTAAAGTGCTCTGCCTACTCATGACTCATGGAAGAGGCTATTAGGAGAGGAGCCATTGAAATCATGTAGAACATTTCTTCCTTCCTTTCTTTCTTTCCTTCCTTCCTTCCTTCCTTCCTTCCTTCCTTTCTTTCTTTCTTTCTTTCTTTCTTTCTTTCTTTCTTTCTTTCTTTCTTTCTTCTAAGATTTATTTATTTTATGTATGAGTATATGTATAGCTGTCTTCAGACATACCAGAAGAGGGCATTGGATCCCATTACAGATGGTTGTGAGCCACCATGTGGTTGCTGGGAATTGAACTCAAGACCTCTGGAAGGGCAGTAAGTGCTCTTAACCACTGAGCCATCTCTCCAGCCCCCAGAACATTTACTTTTTAAAGATTTTAATTTAAAAAGTGTTTTGAGGCCAAGATCTTGCTATATTGTTTAAAATGGTCTTGAGATCCTGGGCTCAAGTGACCTACCTCAGCCTCTCTGGTAGCAGAAATTATAGGTGTGAACCACTATGCCCAGCTCAGGAGGGTTTTGTTGTTTTGTGTCTTTGTTTGCATTCAGGAAGGTTTTTTTGTTGTTATTATTGGTTGGTTGTGGTAGGGTCTCACTGTGCAGCCCTGACAGGCCTGGACGTCTTTGTATAAACCCGGCTAGCCTCTAACAGAGTTCCCCCTGCTTCTCTTCCGCATGGCTGGATTAAAGGAATATGCTACCACACCTGTCCTCAGGACTTTTATTTTAAATAAACAACGGGGCCTCTCTCTTCCTTTGCTCAGGACCCTGCTGAGCTTGGGTAACAATTGGACTTGTGAAATGATTTATGTTTGTGGATGAATCTCATTTGCAGTATCTCATTCACTACTGGGGGGAGGGGCGTCAGAGGAAGAAGCCAGGAATGGATCTCCCATCTTATTTTTTTGAGACAGAGTCTCACATTGAACCTCAAACTCACAATTTCAGCAAGGTTGGGTGGCAGCAAGTTCCTGAGATCTGCCTGGCTCTGCAGCCCAAGTCTAGGGTTACAGACGGTCATGTGACCCTATTTTCCATAGGTGCTGGGGAGTTGAACTCCGGTCCTCACACCTGTACTGCATGTACTCTTACCCACTGAGCCATCTTCCATGTACCACTTTTCCTACTTTGCAAGTGAGATTAGTTAGAAAAGGTTTGGAGCTTGGCTCAGGTCTCCTGTCCAGCAAGGAGCGTTAGGTCATATAGTTTATCTCCCATGTAAAGGTAACTGTTGCCTCCACTGTTAGCTGACAAGCGAGGCATCTGACTTTCAGGATTTTAGTTAGTCATTAGGGGTTGGACCTAGTTATGTCTGAAAGGCACTGGGTAATTTCAAATATTGCAGGGCTTCTTGCTGTTCTGAGCAACTGTGACCACCAGCAGGACCACATGTCAGAGCAAGCAAGGGAAGTGCCATAGTCACCCAGCTCTGTGACCTGAGTACTGAAGGAGGAGAGGTGGGAAGAATAACCGCAAACTTTAGACTCTGGATGTCTTGTTCACATTGGACTAACCTGGAAATACTCTGCTTTCTTCATAGACTTGTATTGAGTGAGAGGTAGGTATTACAAAATGAACACTAGCCGGGCAGTGGTGGTGCACACCTTTAATCCCAGCACTTGGGAGGCAGAGGCAGGCGGATTTCTGAGTTCGAGGCCAGCCTGGTCTACAGAGTGAGTTCCAGGACAACCAGGGCTACACAGAAACCCTGTCTCGAAAAACAAAAAAAACAAAACAAAAAAACCCCAAAATGAACACTAAAGCCTAAGTCATCAGGCAAAGGACATGATATAAGGCTGGGCATGGTGGCACATCTATAGTCTTAGCACTTGGAGGTAGAGAAAAGAGGATCAGGCACTCAGGACTGGCCATAGCTAATTCATGCATTTGATGCCAGCTGGGGCAGATTTCCTTGAGTTCCAGGCCAGCCTGATCTACATAGTGAGACCTGGTCCCAAAACAAGCACAAAAATAATAATAATCCTAAACAAATAAGTGCTGATGTCTCAGCAGATAAAGGCATGCTGTCTAGCCAAAGGCCTGAGTAGACAACCAGAATCCGTCTGCCATAAAGAGCTGACTGTGGCGTGCGTGCCCTTTGACCTATGCACACATGCACATAGGCATGACTGACACCAAGGTTGTTATTTGACCTCCACAAGAACCGTGATGCGCATGCCCACACTTATATTCAAGCATACTTATATACACTCAACACATATGTACAAAGACAAAGGTAAACAAAGCCCAGACACAGGGTTACATAGAGAATACTCACATCACCATCAACATGAATGTCAACATCTTATGCTTTTTATCTGATTTTTATTTATTTTTATTTTTATTTTTTTTTTAGTTTTTCGAGACAGGGTTTCTCTGTGCAGTCCTGGCTGTCCTGGAACTCACTCTGTAGACCAGGCTGGCCTCAAACTCAGAAATCCACCTGCCTCTGCCTCCCAAGTGCTGGGATTAAAGGCATGCGCCACCACCGCCCGTCCTGATTTTTATTTTGTACTGTGTTTGTGTGAAGGGGGAGGGTCTGGAAGGATAGGTGGAGGTTGGAAGACGACTCTGAGGTCAGTTCTACTTTATGCTTTCTGGGTTAGGCTTGTAGTTAGAGCCTTCATCTGCTGAGCTGTCTCGCTGGCCCTGATTTTTGTTTGACAAGAAAGATCTGACTATGTAGTCCAGGCTTGCCTCAAACATCTAATAATCCTTCCTCAGCCTCCCGAGTGAACTCTGTCATCATGCCTGGTTTTGTTTGGGTCTGGGGCTTGAGAGTGGCCTTGCTGCCATCAGGCAAGCATTCGAGCAGCTGAACTCCATCCCCAAAACCATTGGTTGGTTGGTTTATTTATTTATTTATTTATTTATTTATTGGTTTTTCGAGACAGGGTTTCTCTGTGTAGCCCTGGCTGTCCTGGAACTCACTCTGTAGACCAGGCTGGCCTCGAACTCAGAAATCCGCCTGTTTCTGCCTCCCAAGTGCTGGGATTAAAGGGGTGCGCCACCACCGCCCGGCGGTGTTTTTATTTTATTTTATTTATTTATTTATTTATTTATTTTTTTGTTTTTTGTTTTTTCGAGACAGGGTTTCTCTGTGTAGCTCTGGCTGTCCTGGAACTCACTCTGTAGACCAGGCTAGCCTCGAACTCTTGAACTCAGAAATCCGCCTGCCTCTGCCTCCCAAGTGCTGGGATTAAAGGCGTGCGCCACCACCGCCCGGCTGGTGTTTTTATTTTTTAAGATTTATTTTATATATAGATGAGTATACTGTTGTCTTCAGACACACCAGAAGAGGGCATCTGATCCCATTATAGATGGTTGTGAGTCACCATGTGGTTCCTGGGAATTGAACTCAAGACCTCTGGAAGGGCAGTCAGTGCCCTCAAGTGCTGAGCCATCTCTCTAGCCCTCCTTTGGTGTTTTTAATACAGTTACAGTCTGCAGTCGTCACCATGGCTAATTTTAGAACACTTTCATGACTACAAATAAAGACCTACATCGTTTAGCAATTACTTTACAATCTTCAGATCCCAACAGGCAACTGTTTTAGTCTCTGTGGGCTGGCCCACTCTACTTTTTATATGAAGAAATCCTTGAGACTGATTTTTCTTTCTCCCCCCTCATCCCCCCAGAGAGGATTTTTTCTGTGTAGCACTCTGGCTGTCCTCAAACTTGCTTTGTAGATCAGGTTGGCCTCAAACCCCTAGTGTTCTGCCTGCCTCTGCCTCCTGAGTTCTGGGATCAAAGGTGTGGGCCACCGCTGCCCAGTGACTGATGTTTTTCTTACTGGCTTCTGTCACTGAGGGTATGAAAGAAGCCAAGCATGGTGTTGCATGCCTTTAATCTCAGCACTGGGGAGTCAGAGGCAGAAGGATCTCTGAATTTGAGGCTAGCCTGGTTTATATAGGAGTTTCAAGACAGGCTATAGGGAGACCCTGTCTCCAACAAAAACGGGGCATTGTATTTTGGGGGATGGAGCCAGGGCCTCATCTGGAGAACAAGCACTCAGACACTAAGCTCATTTCTCCAGCTCCTTCAGAACTGAAATTCTCCATGAGGGAGACATAACCAGTTGTTCAGACATCTGTGCTGTAGATGAATCTGGTTTGCCTGTGATGTGAGGGAAAAAGGTATGACAGGTGGTTCTTGTACGCACGCTGTGAAACACAGCATGAAGTTTACCACTGAAACAGTTGTTAGTTGTCTGTTTCATTGGCATATGCGCATCATGCAACCCCCATCCCAGTTACACACTTCCTTCCTGCTCTCCCTCCTCAGCCCTGCTTGGTGCCTTCAGACCCCACTTGGCCTATATGCTGCACTCACGAGTATTTATGCTGTTTTTTGTTTTTGTTTTTTTCAGAAAGGGTTTCTCTGTGTAGCCCTGGCTGTCTTGGAACTTGCTCTGTAGACCGGGCTGGCCTTGAATTCACAGAGATCCACCTGCTTTTGCCTCTCCAGCGTTGGAGTTAAAGGCGTGTGCTACTACCCAGCCCTTTGCTTTCCCTTAATATGTTTTTGTTTTGTTGTTGTTTGTCCTTTACAGGTGAAAGTAGGATTCATTGTTCATGTGTGATGGCACTCTGGACTTTGAGTGTTTCCTAGGGTTAGTCACCATATCTAGTTGCCTGAGTGGAGGGACTTGGGATCATAACACAGGCTTGTACCCCAAGCCCTTTAATGGGTGAAAGTGGGCATAGACCCTCAAATCTAGGTCTAGTCAGTTGCAGTGACCAGCCTTTTCATGGGATCTTTCTATTTTATGGGGACTTCTTTGTATCTTTTGGGATGATAAATCTTGGAAGCGTGATAAACAGCTTTTGTTTAGGGGTTCATATAGCCTGCTCTCAGATTTGGGGTACAGGCCTTAGAGAATACGAGGGTTTCTCTTGTCATGCCGGCCTTGACTGAGGAGAAAGCCGCTAGGCTGGCAGAAGCAGAGGGACCCACAGGATCTGGCTTCCAGTGAGCCATGCTGGCACAGCCATCTGAAAGGCCTCTGACGAGGTAGAGGTCAGGGAGCCTGGCCCTGGTGGGTGGGCTTTCCTGAGTTTAGAGGCAAAGACACAAGGCAGAATGCAAATGAGTCTTAGGTCCTCACCTGCTAAGGGAAGGGTGAAATCAGTTGATTCCTGAACCTAAACTATGTGGGAACTGAAGGGTGGTGCATCTGGTAGACAAAGCCTCCAGCTTTATTGCCACAAGATATCTAAGGGGTCTTTGCATAGGTCCTGGGTCCCTAGCATCCCATGAGAGGAGCAAGCATTGGCGGCTCTGGAACTGGACTGGGTTCCTGATCTGCCACTGTTATGCTGGGTATGGCCTATGGGCAACACCAGCTGGGAAAGGCTACTAGGGATCCAGTGCTCTTTCAGCCTTAGGCCACAGTTGTCCAGTTGGACTCCAGAGATGACACTATCTTTGGGAAGCTGATGTGGGCTCCTAGACCAGGGATCCATAGGGCAGAAATAGGGGACCAGGAGGCACTGGACCCAGAGAACTTGTGGGTCCCAGTAAAGAAGCTAAAAATGGATCTGGAGTGATGCTCAATGGGACTAAGAGAACTTACTGCTCTTGCAGAGGATCCAGGATCTGACGGATTCTTCCAACCTCTGCAGGTATAAGGTACACATACACACACACATACATACACACATACATACATACACACATACACACATACATACACACATACACACATACACACACACACACATACATACACACATACACACACACACATACATACACACATACATACATACATACATACACACATACATACATATAAATGTACAATGAATAGATAACGGCTGGAGATGACTTGGTGGTTGAGAACATTGAACATTGAAATGCTCTTTCAGACATTTGATTCCCTACACCCGTATCAGTGGGTCACAACCACCTGTAACTAGAGTTGAAGGGAATCTGATCACACACACACACACACACACACACACACACTAAATCTAAATCTACTGGGCATAGTGGCATAGTCTTTAATTCCAATACTAGGGAGGTAGAGGCAGGTTGATTTTGAGTTCAAGGCCAGCCTGATCTGCATAGCTCCATGACAGCCAGAAATACATAGAGACCTGTCTCAAAAACAAAAAACTCAATAATTAATAAAAATAAATCTTTAATTTTTCTTTTAAACAGGGTATCACTATGTAGTCTTGGTTAGCCTGGAACTCAGACTTGAATGTCTTTGCTTCCTGAGTGTTGGAATTAAAGATGTGTACCACTAAGCTTTTAAAAAATTAAAAAGACATTAGAGAATCTAACAATGTCTGGAGTGCTACAGTCTTGTTTAATGGCTCTAACCAAAAAGTGAGACACTTTGCTAAACTTCCTATCACTTAATTGTTTCAGAGATACAGGAAGGTCACCTTGGGCTGGTACTCCAGATCTGACCATCTCTATCCAGACTGGAGGCCTGGAACCCTGCCCCTGACCAGTCAGGGAAGCACCAAGAACAGCAGTTGCAAGATCACTCAGGCTCAGCTGAGGCCTCAGAGTAGGTCAGAGGATAAGCTGTGAGAGCCCAGAGAGTCACATTTACCTGGGGCTAGACTTCAGCCTTCTGACATGCAAATACCAGTACTCACTGGCCTGGGTTCTTTGAGACAGGTGCCCAGCATTGAGGTAAAGGGGACAAGGCCAAAGACAGCCTAGGTAGGCTGAGCAGACACGGTGGGATTTCAGCCTCTCTATTCTCAGGCATGTCAGGTTTCAGTACCTCTCTCCTTGCTTATCCTATTAGATGGCCACCTTGCAATACTGATGCTGGGAGGGTCTGTACTGGACACTGATGAGGCTTCTAAGGTAGAAACTCAGTGACTCGGTATGTTAGTGAGCAGCAGCCCGGAGAGGCTCTTACTGTGCAGCGAGTTCACTAATGTACAGGGGGGTTTAGACGGGATTGTCAGGAAAGGTGCTGATAGGACACTGGCCCAGGGCTCCTGCGTATATTAGGTTTTATATTATATTATATTATATTATATTATATTATATTATATTATATTATATTATATTATATTTATTATAGGAAACTGCAGCCTCTCAATCCCAGGGCACCAAGCAAGTCCATATCCCCAGGCTTCATCCCTGGTCCATTTGTTAGAGCCCCCGGCCCCAGGGGCCTCTTCCACTGACTGCCTTTGCTCTTGTCTTAGGACTGAAGCTCTGAGCTCCCACATTCTGGCCTAGGAGGAGGAAGAGGAAAAGAGACCCATCTGCCAGCGGGCTGAAGGTGGCCTTGAGGGCCATGCTCTCGGTCTCAGGATGCCCCTGCCTGAGCCCAGTGAGCAGGAATGTGAGAGCGTGCGAGCTGGCCAGGAGCCCCAAGAGTCCTCCAATCTGGTCCCAGCCAGGGATAAAGAGAAACCCAAGCCGACAGATGTCATATCCCAGGAGACGTCTGGCACTGCCACCTTACCCAACAATACCCTCCAGGTCGAGCCAGTCAAGAAGCAGGGACGGATAATTCACCGGAAACGTAGTAGGGTAGATGCAGGTGAGATTCTGGAGCCCTGCCATCCTGGCTCTGCCGAGTCTGTTGATCTGCTTACCCGTCTCCATCCACATCCAAGGGTGACCTTGGATACCCCACGCTTTCTTCCAGTTGAGCCTCTTAGATTCTAACTCGAAGAACATTCAGTGCCCTGGCACCAGGCCCTTTCATGAGAACTGCAGCTATGCACAGAATTCTCTAAACTCCTTAAGTCCCTTCCCTACCACAAAAGCATCTTTTAGAACCTGGGCTTGCCTGGCTGCTAGGAACCCAATAAAGCATTCTGCCCACAGGACCCAAACCTATTCCAAGACCCACTCCCCAGGGCCCCTGACCTTGAGCCTTGCTCTAGAGAAGCTAATCCAGACTTTTTATGTCCCCAGTTGCCCCCCAGCCCCTGGAGTTCCGGAAGACCCGATTTGGGAGCCGCCTTCTGGTGCACAAGTCATTCCTGTATAAGCAAGAGAAGGCTGTAGGGGACAAGGTGTACTGGAAATGCCGCCAGCACTCAGAGCTAGGCTGCCGGGGACGGGCCATCACCCGTGGCTTTCGAGTCACAGAGATGCGGGACCACTGTCACCCACCTGAGAAGGAGGGCCTGGAAAGGAAAAGGCGCAAGAAGAAAAAGGTGCCCAGCTCAGACCTGCCTGAAGGTACCGAAGGCCAAGAAGATGGGGTGAGCCTATGGCTGTACCCTGTGGAGCCAGAGCCCACCCCTCAGCCCATCACTGAAACCCCAGAAGAGGAAGAACAGGGGTACCGATCCCTGGCACTGCAGAGCCTGCCTCCCAAGAAGCGCCCCACACCAGGAGTGGGTGAGTACATGGCCTCCCCTCACTTGGGTAGGAAAGGACCCTCACAGCTCCTTCATGCCCAAAGAAAAATGTGGGATTTCAAATGGGTTCTCAAAATGTGTTCCAAGTCAAAAATATAAATGCATCCATGTCACAGTTAGTCCGTAGGTCAGACAACTCTGTGGTCTGGGGATCCCAGGGCCTTTCAAGTTTTTTCTTTGTAGCCGAGTCTGTTATAGGACCCAGAAATCTACATACCAATGGGCAGGCTTTTGTGATTTTGGAATAAAGTTTGGACAGGGTTTCCAGGAGCAACGTTTGGCTTTGAGTCTCAGGTTCAAATTCCAGCCCCACAGATAAAGGGCTGTAGCTTCAGAATTCACATGAAGTCTGGGTTCTCTGGAGCTTGTGCCTGAAGCAGGTTGTGGCAGCTGGGACTATTGAAGAGCCTGTGGGTTGATAATAACCGTGTCATATCCTGCACTGCGTAGCTAAGTGAGAGGCGGCATGTATATGCTCGTAGAGTAGATAGGTGTGGCTTCGAGGGGGCTCAGTGTCTCCTGACCACAAGGATCTGAGGGTCTGAGTGGCTGCACTGGTAGGAGGGGCACTTCTTTTCGGTATGCTTCTGTTAAGATGATTTGAAGGTGTGCCTATGTTCCAAAGGAGGGGCTAGGGATGTTGCTTGGCGATAGAGCACTTGCCTGGCATCTGGAAGCCTTAGGCCTAATTCTATACACTGTAAAACCCAAAACTAGACAAAAATTTTTAGACAAATGCTAGAAAAATATGGACATGAGTGACCCTGAACATGATCTGCTGACTCAGAGCCCTGCTTGGCCCCTCCCATTGTGGTGTGAACTGTGAACTGAGTCTCATTGACTTGAAGAAGGAACTCTTGTTCCTTTTGGGTGGCTTGGTGAGAATGGACTGGGCTTCACATGTGCCCAGCTTAGGGAAATATGCCAACATTGGGGAGAAAGTACATGGCAGTTCCTCCTGAGACCCCAGACCCTTGCCCTTGGTGTGATGACTTTTCTGGGTCCTTCCTCCAGTACGGTATCGGCCTCTTGAGTTCCTGAAGACATGCTATGGGGGTACCTTCCTGGTGCACCAGTCCTTCCTCTACAAGCGGGAGAAGACGGTAGGAAGCAAGGTGTACTGGACCTGCCGGGAGCATGCCGTCCACGGCTGCCGTAGCCGAGCCATCACTCAGGGCCAGCGCGTGACGGTGATGCGCAGCCATTGCCACTCACCTGACATGGAAGGCTTGCAGGCCCGGCGGCAGCAGGAGAAGACCATAAAGAAGATACAGGCACGGCGAATTGGGGCTGGGGACTTGGAGGATTGCGATGACATCGAGGAATCACTGCTGCAGGGGGTGGACAGCCTGTTCTACCGCAGAGGGCCGAGCACACTGACTCTCAGCAGGTCCAAGTCCAAGTCCAAGTCCAAGTCCAAGTCCAAGTCCAGGTCCAGGTCCAGGTCCAGGAAACGAGCAAAGAAGCAGCAGGAATCCTTGCCGGAATCCCCCGAGGAGGACCAGGATGTGGAACCTGGTGAGTCTTATGTTTAGGGACTTGCTGGCCAGTTGGTTGCCTCAGTTTGGGGGGGGGGGGGTGGCCAGCCTTCTCAACCTATCCCTCACCCCCTACGCTTTATTAATGTACATCCTCTACTCCCATCCCTAACTGCCTGTCCTATCCCCTGCAGGAGGCCCAGAGTTCATAAAGACCCCTCTGGGGGGCAACTTCCTGGTGTATGAGTCCTTCCTCTACAGACGGGAGAAAGTAGCTGGTGAAAAGGTGTACTGGACTTGCCGGGACCAGGCACGCATGAGCTGCCGCAGCCGTGCCATTACCCAGGGCAGGCAGGTGACTGTGATGCGGGGCCACTGTCATCCACCTGACCTGTTAGGATTGGAGACTCTGAGGCAGCGGGAGAAACGCCCAGGCCCTGCTCAGTGGGATGGCCCAGGTACCTGGGGAGACCCTGTAGCTTTTTCTTTTGTGCACATGTCCTGCCCTCCTCCTTTCTGTAAATATTCTGGAAGTCATGGTCCTCTCTTCTGTACTTCTCCCGCCCTTTGTTCCCCAAACTCAGTCCATCTGGGTGTGGCTCTCCTAGGTCCCTCCTCACTTGCCTACATAGGCTTCCAGACTGAACCCTGATAAACCTAAGCTCCCATCTCTGACACTTTAGGAGTTATCAGTAGGGGTTGCCAAGTGTGGAAGGCCAGATTCTCATTCCTGCAGTGCAAACAGGGGGCCACAGGTCAGTGTCATGGTCTGGGAGCTGAGAGAGCTGAGCCTCTCTCCAGCTTGGTCTGTTGGACACCTGCATGCCAGAGTCCTAGTTCCACCCACTCAGCTGTCCAGCAGAGCCTGGTCCTCCTGCAGAAAGTGACTGTAGCCTTCACAGCAGGCCAGCACACAGCTCCTCAGCCTGCGCTCGCCTGCGCTCGCCAGGCTTCCAGGCCTAGAGTGTTTAGAGTCCGGAGTTACTTCCTGGACGTATTGCAAATATCAGGAGTTTCATCGTCTTTCCTTCCTTTTTGTTCCATTTCTTGATACAGGGAGATGATGCAGGGCGTGGAGGTGCCTGGCCTGGCCCTTGTTCCCAGCCCGTGCAGTCTACTCTAAACATCTCTACCATTGTTAATCTATTTAATCCATTTTTCAATTTCCTTGTTACCTGCTGACTTACAACCAGAGGAAGTGATTTAGCCTTGCTATATTTTTTGAATAGGTTAATAGGTTTTTGACTTTTTGTTTATTTTTTGGTTGTTGTTTTGTGGTATTTTGTGGTGTTTTGTTGTTGTTGTTATTTTTAGATTTATTTATTATGTATACAGTGTTCTGCCTGCACGTATCCCTGCAGGCTGGAAGAGGGCACCAGATCTCATTATAGATGGTTGTGAGCCACCATGTGGTTGCTGGGAATTAAACTCAGGACCTCTGAAGAAACAGCCAGTGCTCTTAATCTCTGAGTCATCTTTCCAGCCCTTTGTTTTGTATTTTGAAGCAAGGTCTCAACTATGTAGCCCTGAGTGGCCTCCAACTCACAGAGATCTGCTTGCCCGTGTGTGTGTGCACGAACATGCATATGGACACGCACACTAGGGCATGCATGTATTGGTTTAAGGATAACATGTAAGAGTCAGTTCTTCCTTCTCTCTGGGGAGTGAACTGACAGGCTTAGAGCAGGTGCTGTTCTTTTCTGAACTATCTCAGTATTATAGCTGCCATTTGTTCTTCCCAAGCTCTGTGTCTGCTGAGCTGGAACTCCCTGCACGTCTCCCCTCGCTGTGTGCTACCTCCACTGTCTTGCAGCTGCTGTATGTGCCCCTTCTAGGAGCCCATCACTGCCTCCATCCCATCTGCTGTCCTGCATCACATCAACAGGCAGCTCCAAAGCTTGCTGGACCCTGCTACTGCCTTGTCTGACGATGACCCCAGGCCTGGCTGTCACCTCGATTCCCTTGGCCAGATGCCCTGGCTCTGGGATTTTATTTATTTATTTTGGTCTCCTCTCTTTTGGTTTGGGAAGTCCTTGATCCACTCCTCTCGGAGAAGCCATTGAGACCCTGCTCATTTGGAGCCGTTGGTGATTTCCCTGCACACTTGTGGCATGGCTGTATGAGAGTGCCAGGCGACCCCTGCTACATCCTTGACATTTCACTGTTCACTGCCTCTGCCTCTTCTGCTGGAGTACTGTACCATTTTTATTTCCTGAAAACCATTTTTTTCTTTTAATGTTCATGTGTATAATAGCTGTTTTGTCTGTATGTATGTGTATGTACCATCTGTGTGTCTGCTGTCCACAGAGTCTGTGCCTGGTACCTGAGGAGGCCAGAAGAGGGCATGAGATCCCCTTGAACTGGAGTTACAGATAGTTGTGTTAGTGCTAGGAATTGAACCCAGGTCCTCCAGAAGAGCAGCCTGTGCTCTTAACCGCTTACTTCCCATCTCTCCGACCCTCTCCTGACAAGCATTCTAATTTCAAATGGCTTCTCCACTGTGGGAAGAGGTGGACCATTCCCCACAACCCTTCCCTCCTGGCCTTCTTCCCCACCTTTCCAGGAGCTCCAGAACCAGATGTTTCTATTCAAGCCCTCAGCCTCTTGGAGTTGTCCCCAGCTCTGTCATCCAGTGACTCCCAGTCTGTCACTGTCTTCCATGTCTCCATGCTTAATGTGTTCAACTGCTTTCTTTTTTTTTTTTTTTTTTTTTTTTTTTTGGTTTTTCGAGACAGGGTTTCTCTGAGTAGCCCTGGCTGTCCTGGAACTCACTCTGTAGACCAGGCTAGCCTCGAACTCTCGAACTCAGAAATCCGCCTGCCTCTGCCTCCCAAGTGCTGGGATTAAAGGCGTGCGCCACCACCGCCCGGCTCAACTGCTTTCTTAATGCAAAGCCCCGAAGTCCACATTCCGCCAACAAGCAGCATGGTCAGGACTGTCAGTGCAATACCCGAGTCCATGGTACCAGCTTCTGCCTTAGTCAGTGTTCTGCTGCTGTGAACAGATGCCATGACCATGGCAACTCTTAGAAAAGAAAGCATTTAACTGAGGCTGGCTTAGAGTTTCAGAGACTGAGTTCATTTTTGTCCTGGCTAGAAGCATGAGGATGCACAGGCAGACATGATGCTGGAGAAGTAGTTCACAGTTCTACATTTAGATCTACAGGCAACAGGAAGAGAAAGAGCCACTGGGCCTAGCTTGTGCTTCTGAAACCTCAAAACCCACCCCAACAAGGCCACACCCACCAATCCGTTCAAATAGTGCCACTCTCTGGTGACCAAGCATTCAAGTCTATGAGACTGTGAGAGCCATTTTTATTAAAACCACCACAGCAGTCCTTGTGGCTAGTCAAAGTAAGGACATGACAGGCAGGGGTAAGAGGGTCCTGTGGGCAAGGCCAGGCTGTTCTTCAGGTTCCTCCTACCTCCACAGCTCAAGCCTACACCCAGCCTAAACACACACACACACACACACACACACACACACACACACACTCAGTCCTTGAGTCATGAGACTCAAAAGTCCACTCTTCAGCTCTGAGCTGCTCTGACTCCAGCTCACCCTTGAGGCTATGGAGACCCGCCTGCTGGTCTGGAGGGCACCTGGTACAAAAGAGCAGACACCCCACCTCCTTCCTCAATTATCATCATAGAGAACACCACCCTCAGGGCCTAGCCTGGTCAGTCTCCAGCCTCAGAACAAGCAAACCCTGGCCTCTGAGGGCACTGTGGGGTTTGAAGTCACTGTGTACAGGAAGAAGGCATGAAGTAGGTGGTAGGGTCTCTCCAAGGTATGTGGTGTTCTTGGCTATGAAAAATGGGAATGTTCCCCATCCAAGGTCCCGTCTGCTCCCCGTGTCCCTTCCCTGAGTCTGCTTTTGTTTCTTTACAGAAGGGCCAGAGTTCCTAAAGACCCCTCTAGGGGGCAGCTTCCTGGTGTATGAGTCCTTCCTCTACAGGCGGGAGAAAGCGACCGGTGATAAGATATACTGGACTTGCCGGGACCAGACACGCATGGGCTGCCGCAGCCGCGCCATCACACAGGGCCAGCGGGTGATAATCATGCGCAGACACTGCCACCCACCGGACATGGGTGGCCTGGAAGCTCTTCGGCAGAGAGAGAACTTCCCTAACCTGACCCACTGGGAGGGCCCAGGTACGTGGAGGGAGTGTGGCTTCTCAATGCCCCGCAGCACCACAGCCCCTTCCCAGGATCTGTGCTTAAGGTACCGATTTTACTGTGCGATTGATTGCTATTGCTGAGAAACACTAGCTCTAGAAAAAGTGGGGGCAGTGGGCCTGGGGTGGTGTGGCTGTCAGTCACCAGAAGTGCACAGACATATGATGGAGCAGGATGACTAGAGACCGCCCCCGTCTGGACCTCTCTTCTTTTTCCTGTCTTCTCCCTGGGCCTGTTCTGCTCTGCTTGTTTTCACATGCTTTCTGGCCACACCCCCAACATCACATGGCCTTTGACTTCAGCTTCATAAAAACTAGAGAATGGCTTTGTGGCCAGTTGGTGGACAGGAGAATGACAGTCCCCCAGAACAAATACCAGATGAACTTCTGGTTGTCCAGCAAGGCCCTACCTCTGTCTAGGAGACCCCCAGCAAGCATAGAGTTTATGGTCTGGTGAGGCTTCCAGCAGAGCTCCAGGGATAGCCCAGGCTGCTCTGGAGCCCTGGAAAGGAAAGCAAGTACGTACTAAAGAGTGTCAGGACCATATCTGAGCATTAGTCCCCAGAGCCCTGAGGGGTAGGCAAAGGGATGGGAGCAGGGACCAAAGTGAATCCTCTTGGGATTAGAATGGACAGAGAGAGGCCCAGTCCCCTGTCGCCAAGGGCTGGGGCTCCAGTGCTCCCCTCACAATGACTCTGCCGTACAGAGCCGCAGGAGCCACTGGAGTTCCTGCAGACACCCCTTGGAGGCCGCTTCCTGGTGTATGAGTCCTTCTTGTACAGGAAAGAGAAGTCCGCCGGTGAGAAGGTGTACTGGATGTGTCGAGATCAGGCTCGGCTGGGCTGCCGCAGCCGCGCCATCACCCAGGGCCGGCGGGTCATGGTGATGCGGAACCACTGCCATCCACCCGACCTGGCTGGCCTTGAGGCCCTGCGGCAGCGGGAGAAGGCCCCGCAGGAGCAGGAGAAGGCCCCGCAGCAGCGGGAGAAGTCCCCACGGCAGCAGGAGAAGGCCCTGCAGCAGCGGGAGAAGTCCCCACGGCAGCAGAAGAAGTCCCCACGGCAGCGGGAGAAGTCCCCACGGCAACGGGAGAAGGCCCCCAGTGCAGCTAAGAAGAAAAAGAAAAAGAAGAAAGGTATACATTGAGTGACCAGGGGCTTTTGCCTAACTTATGCATTTCCAGAACCTTTGCCTCTCATTTCTCCTGGTCACTTCCTGTTGACATGAAACTATACCTACTTCTTCCTGGGCCTTCACCCAGCTCTCTTGCCAAACCATTCTTCCTCTTTTACTCGGAGACAGCTCAATACTTTAGAGGTTGTTGTCTCTTGAAAAAGCTGATGAAAAATATAGACCACCACAGAAGAATGCAAAGAATGCTGTGTGTTCAAATACAGGTACCACACACATAAAGTTTGTAAATACTTTTATTTCATTGAAAATTGGTTTACACCAAGTGATGGTGGCTCATGTCATTAATCCCAGCACTTGAGAGGCAGAGGCAGGCAGATGTCTGAGTTCAAGGCCAGCCTGGTCTATAGAGCAAGTTCCAGGAAAGCAAAGGCTACCCAGAAACCCTCTCTTGAAAAAAACTAAAGAGAAAGAAAAAAAAGATTAGTTTACTTTATAAACAAATATGTTGTTATTTTGAAATAGTGTTTTTATATATGTAACCCAATCTGGCATTAAACTCACAATAGATCTTAAAACAATCTTTCTTTCTTTCTTTCTTTCTTTCTTTCTTTCTTTCTTTCTTTCTTTTTTTCTTGAGACAAGGTTTTTACCTAGCCTTGCCTTTCCTCAAACCCAGTCTATAGACCTCTGCCTTCTGAATGCTGGGATTAAGGGTGTACATCACCACAGCCTGGCTAAGTATACCTAATCTAATCTATAGCATCTATATCTATATACAGATATTTTAAAGATCTACTTTTATTCTATGAGTATTTGCCTGCATATATGTGTGTGTACCATATATGTACCTGGTACCTATGGAGTCCAGAAGAAGGAGTTGGATCCCCTAGAATTTAAGTTACAGAAGGCTGTTAGCTGCCACGTGGGTGCTGAATACTAAACCCAGAGCAGCCAGTGCTTTTAACCACTGAGCCATCTCTCCAGTTCCCTTAGGACATTCTTGAATTCTGATTCACAAGTGCTAGGATTACAAGTGCTCTTATGGCCGGGCGGTGGTGGCACACGCCTTTAATCCCAGCGCTTGGGAGGCAGAGGCAGGCGGATTTCTGAGTTCGAGGCCAGCCTGGTCTACAGAGTGAGTTCCAGGACAGCCAGGGCTACACAGAGAAACCCTGTCTCAAAAAAACAGAAAAAAAAAAAAAAAAAAAAAAAAAAAGGTGCTCTTACCTATGTGGCCTGGACTCGATTCCTGGTCAAGGAAAGCATTTACTGGGGCTGGAGAGACGGCTCAGGGGTTAAGAGCACTGACTGCAGAGGACCCAGATTTGGTTCCCAGCGCCCACATGATGATAGCTTACAACCCGCTGTAACTCCAGCACAGGGGCTTTAACACCCTCTTCTGGGAGCCAAACATGTGCTATGCAGATAAAATACCCCCCACATAAAACAAAAGTAAACATTTTTTTTTAAATGAGAGGGAAGAAAGGGGAGGTATTGGCATATAGAATAATAAAAGAATCCTGAGGCTGGAGAGATGGCACAGTGGCTCAAAGAACTTGCCACTCTACCAGAGGATTCAGGTTTGGATCCCAGGACCCATGCATGAACCCACAAGCATCTGTAACTCCACTTGTAGGGTATCCATTACCCTGTTCAGAGCTCAGAGGGCACACATGGCATATGGATATACACATATTACACATAAATAAAAATTTAAACTAAAATAATAAGCTAGGTATAGTGGCAGATGCTTTTAATCCCATTACGACAGAGGGAGAAGCAGGTAGATTTCTATGAGTTCAAAGCCAGCCTGGTCTACATAGAAAGACCTTGTCTCAATAAATAAATAATGAATAAAACAGCCATCGGCTATTACAGATAACATTTCTTGTATGAGAACAACATCGGTGATTTATTTAGTGGATGACTGTGGAAGAACTGGAAGTACACCTCAGTTGTAGAGCACCTGCTTAGGGTGTGTGAGGCCCTGCATTTAATGCCCAGAACCACAGAACTACTCCAAGAGTGATAGAAGTTACAAAAACCTATTTAAGAAGGGATTGGAGCAGGAATCATTGTGGGAGTGTTTCCACCAGGTGGTCCTGGTGAAGTTCCTCAGCTTCACGCTGAGTCAGAGTTGCCCCGCCCAGCCACTCTCATCACTTTGACCCCACAAGCTGTTTAGGGGTGATTTGTGACCACATAGTAGATATAGACTAAGACAGTCACCTACAGGTCTGCTGGCTCTCAGGACAGCCTCCAGGCACAGTAAACTGATTTTATTTTTGTGGAGGAAAAGAATTCGCGCATGCCTACCTACAGACCTAGTACCACAGAGGCCGAGACAGGAAGGCCTCCCTGGGCCAGCCGCACGCACGGTCAGTTCCAGGCCTGCTTCAGCTGTATAGTGAGATACAGCCAGCAAACGAACACAAACAAATAACTCCAAAATAACTCACACTTAGACCGTAAATATACCTTTAGTTTGTTTATTTTTTGATACAGGGTTTCTCTGTATAGCCCTGGCTGTCCTAGAGCTCACAAGGTAGACCAGGCTGGCCATAAACTCACAGAGATCCACCTGCCTCTGCCTCCTGAGTGCTGGGATTAAAGGCATGCACCACCATGCCAGGCTTAAATAAACCTTTGTAATGATGCACATTTCTCTGTTATTAGGAAAATCAAAGAGCTAAAACCGAGCAGCCAGTCTTGCTGAAGTGAGTCTTCTCTGGAGCAGCAGAGGAGCAGCTGGCGCCCCAAATGCTTTCCGTCCACGCAGGCATTTCCCGTCATTCAGATGCGCTTGATGACAGCTCTTTTCACTCTTCCAAAGCACCTAGGACCGGAACATTTCCTCAGAGGTCTCCCAGGAGGAGCGCTTGGACTTTTGGTAGTCACCGAGCCAGATAGGTAGCCTGCAGGCCTGTCCCATGCTGCTCTCACCGTTATGACCTTAGACGGCTGTGGAGAAGTGTGTCTGGACTGACAGACCTCTGCCCTGCTCTGCTGTCCAGGCCTCAGCACCATCTGCTTTCGGAGCATGCTGCCTTGCAGGGAGCTTTCCAGTGGAGTGTGACCCTGTGTGAGCCCCATGAAGTTCAGCCAAATGAAGTCATCCTAAGCCAGGATATGTATGGGAACTTCCTGCCACCCTCTGAAGACAGTGCAAGTCACAGCAGGGTTTTGTTTTGTTGCATCTTTTAGGGACAGGGGTGAGGTCTTTAGTCACTTGCTGCTTGCTAAGGCACATCCAGCCCTGACCATGGCAGACAAGCTAAAGGCTTCGCTGTACCTTCCTGGCAGACTTTGCACCCTGCATTCTTTCCCAACTTAAACCTCTGTCCACAGTTCTCGGGAGCCAGCCCAGAGGTCAGGAGGAGGTGACACCAGGTAGACATGCTCTAGTGGCAGTGGCACCACTGAGAATTGCCCACCCTGGTGTCACATGATGCCCAAGGTCAGTTAGATGGCGTCAAAGCCCGCCTCCTGTAGAAAAGCTTAGCAGAACTAAGGACCCACGCCAGCAGTGACACTCTAATGTCCCCGGGAACTGCAGAATTTCCTGCGTGCTGCACCGTATCATAGAGCTGCATGCTCCTCTCCCTTAGCAAGCAAGCCATGGAGAGCCACCCCAGTGGGATGGTAATGGCCTGGTGCCTACCACTGGCTTCCGCTCATCTGCTTCCCTCAATAAACCCTATGTAGTCTCATGGTACAGAGCTGCTATATGTTGGTAATAGTCTGCGCTGCCACAAACCACACACCGTCTCTGCCAGATGCTGGGGCGGCATGGGCTTGGTTAGTAACTCCTGGGCAATGGTGTTTGCTTGGCCCAGATCAAGACTTGGAAGGGACCTGCTGAGGACCTGTTCCCAGCCACAGGGAAGGTTTGAAGGGTGAGCCACGTACCACCCCTCAGCTTGAGTTCTTCTGAGCTCATGTGATTGAGTTACGGTGAGCCCCAAATGGAAGTGGTACCCCAAACAAAGGCTGGCCGAGTTTGCCTCTTGAGACCCTGGATGCCTCCTGGGCAGGTATCTCCTCATTTTTCGTCTTAGCCATACCTGTCCCTGATTACCAGCCATCCTGGGCCTCCACCTGAAATTTGTCTTCAGTCCAAAGAGATGGTCTGAGGGCTGGGGAAATAGGTCAGTTAGTAAAGTGCTTGCTACACAACCATAAGGACCTGAGTCAGAATCCCAGCAGCCTGGGGAAAGCTGGGCCTGGTGCATATGTCTGTAATCTCAGCACTGGGTAGGGAGAAAGAAGAGCATTTCAAACAACTCAACAGTGGGGTGGGGTTTGGTTTGCTTTTTCGAGACGTGGTTTCTCTGTGTAGTCCTACCTCTAGGTAGCCGTCCTAAAACTCACTCTGTAGACCAGCCTGGCCTAAAACTGAGATCCACCTGCCTCTGCCTCCTGAGTGCTGGAGTTAAAGATGTGTGCCACCACCACCCAGCAACAGTGGGATTATATATATATACATCCCTGTCTCTCTACTTCCAACTCACCTGGGACCAGCTACTCACCCTGTGACAGGAGCAGCTTCCACACCCACTCATGCCTCCAGGTACCTCCTCAACCTGCCAATGGAGACTCCACAGTGCCTGCCATGGAGTCCCCTCCCTGGCTGTGTGTGTCAGGTATGATTACCCGATTTAAGGACCAGACACCAGAGATATACTTAAGGATGTCTCCAGGGCCCACTTGGGATACCACCACAGGCTTTAGCCCTTCCTCCAACTTGCCTCAGCCTACAGCCTCTTGCTCTGGAAGGCCAAAAGATATCCAGATATCTCTGGGGAGACTAATCTTCTGCTCTTGTTCTAGAGGATTCTAATAGACTCAGTGACCTTCCTGACCATAGCAGAGGCCCCTGTGGAAAAGGAGGGTAGTAGAGGCTCTGCAGGCTCTCCTGCAGCCCTAGACATTTGTACCTTGATCATACTGGTCCCCTGCTCACACCTCACTGCCCTCAGGCCCACCAGCCTGTCCTGTCCAGCACACGCTACTGCTGTGGAACAAATTACCAAGATCAGCTGCCAAAACCTCCCGTTTGTTAGCTCATGCTTCTGATGAACCAGGCCTCTGGGAGGACTGAATAGTGTCCTTTGCCTGGCGTCACACATAGCTGCAGTCAAGGTGACAGCCCCTAAGGCTGGTAGCTCATCCCCTCCTGTGCAGCTATGGACAGAATCTAGACTCCAGACAGCTCTCTGACCAAATCAGGCCATCTGCTTCATTATCACCACCACCTTTGAGAATCGAGGTCTCAAACTCCATGAGCCTATAGTCTTAATACTCAGGGAGCTAAGGTATGAGGATCTCAGATGTGGCCAGCTGGGACTACATAACAAGTTGCAGGCCAGCCTGAGCTACATAGCAGACCCCACTGAGAGTTAAGGCAGGGCTGTGCTTTGTCATCTAGGCTGACCTTGATGTCTTGGACTCAAGTCATCCTGCTGCCCCAACCTGCCACATTTAGCTTAGACCACAGGCATGCACCAGTTTTCCCAGCCCCATCTCTTACTTAACTCAGAGACGATTTAATTAATTAGAGACTATAATTAATCTGCACCAACCCCTCCACCGTCTCCACATAGTGGGACCTAATCAGAGAAGGGTGTTGGTGCATGCGGGGTGATGTCTACACTCCAGAGAACTGGCTCGTGAGCCTGTGCATCTCCAGGGGCAGGAATCACTTTCAGATTCTACTCCCCATAGCCTAACTAACCTGCCATTACTAATTCACCCTCCCCAACCCAGGGAAGCCCAGGAAAAAATAATCAAGCAGTCCTGGGTGATCTCAGGAGTCCACAAGTCATAGAGGGCACAGGGGAATAGGCCTTCAGCAGTGCCCTGACTCAGAAAGTTCCACAGGCTTAGTACTCACCAGCCAGGGTTCACTGATATGCTTCAATAGGCCCTGACTTCTCTGGTGCCTGGTCTGAGCCAAGAGAGCTTGGGCTACAAAGGGTGAGGTTGCAGTGGCACTTGCTGTGGTCCCAGGAAGGAGCTAGCCTGGACATTAGACTCAAAAGCACCGCCTGGGCAGTGAGAGAGATTTTGGGAGTGGAGGTCAGAGGTAGCTTCCCTCTGCCTGCTGAGACATTCATTGGCCACTCTGGAGGGCCTTGGGCTTTTGCTTCTAGCCTATGGCCCCCATTTTGAGTCATGGTATCACCCCCAGGGGAGTAAGCTACTGCTAAGATTGTGTAACCAGAACCTTGGCTCCTTGAGGGTGACTTTGGGGAGAGAAAGCTTTGATGCCATAAACCAGAGAAGACAGACACTTCTGCCTTCTCTCCCTCATGCCTGACACCCATGAGACAAAGACCTCCCTTCACCCCACATCACCCTCCTCCCATGGATCCTTCATCCACACTAACAGATGTTACAGTCAGGGTGCTTGGTAGATACCATAACCTCCTCTAAAACATGGGGATCTTCAGACCCAAAGCTGAGGTGCTGTCCTGGTGCCATTAGAACCTTCAGAGAGACAGTGGAGAAGGCAGCAGAGGGCCAGGGGGCTCTGAAGAGACTGTTTCCAGCTGGCCTTGATTTGGGCTGTGGATGAAGACAAGGTGTAGGCTCTTTCCAGTTTGAGAACACCTCCAGCCCACATGGCAAAGCTTCCATCTGGACTTCCAGGCCTGGGCACAGAGACAGTCGTGAGAAAGGGGAGCATGTTCTAAGGAGATGGCTGTGGGCAGAGGCCAAGAGTCAGGAGAAGGAAGGTACCTCTTTGAGACAGTGATAAGCCAACGCCAGGAGGGCCAGGAGGGCTAGGACTCCAGCAGCAACTGGGACCCCCAAGGGCATTTGTAGCTCCCAGCTGGTGCCATAATGTTCCTGAGAAAAGAGGAGACAGAGTCAGGGGTGTGGGGGAGCAGGAAGGGAGCTTGGGCAGGGTGCAGTTCCTACCTTTCTGCTCCAAACCAGTGGACTCTGAAACCAAGTCATGGTTGGTTCCTCACCGACCACTGTTGGGCCTCCAGGTTCCCAGTCTTCTTCCCAGAGGTCCCCACACCCCTGATACCCCCTCAAGTCAGTCACTGTGGCAACCACCAGGCCTAGTCTGATTGCAAGTGACCAACAAGGCCTTTCTGTTTAGCCATCTCATCCTTCGAAAGTGAAACCTTTCCTTCCCAGGCCTCCTGTGAGGGAGGGGCAACGAAGAACCAGCATAACCCATAGCCCCAGGTCAGTAGCCGCCCTTCCTGAGAGGCCCCTCCAGAAGAATTTCATGGGTGGAGCAGACAAACTGACTCCTCCTCTCAGAATCACCAACGTAGCCCACAATGGCAAATTCCAATAAATCACGAGCTTTTTCTGGAAACAGTTCTCTAGCACCCCCTGGAGGCTGGAGGCAGATGTAACTAGCAAAGGTTGCCACTCTTCGTGCCTCGCGGAGGGCCACCCTACTGCAAGACTGCTGGACACACGTTTCCCCAACTGTGGCATCCCAGTAGGGAAACTGAGGCAAAGGAAGCTCAAGAAACGTGTTAATATCATAGTAGATGGACAAAGTCATGTGAGTGTCCGTGGCTGAGTGTCTCCCAGCCCTGCACAGGCTGTGAGTGCTTACAACAAGCCAGCAGCAGCTTATGTTACGATGAAGGTGAGTGTGGTCTGGAGTTTTGAGCCTACACGCTCCCAGTATACCTCAGTGTACTTGCCTCCCAAGTGCTCAGCCCTGCCCTCTCACAGTTGTCCAGGCGGTGATGCAGACAGAGGAGCGAGGCTCAGGAAACCGGGACATGGTCAAGGAAGGAAGATTCAGGGAAGGTGTGATTCAGAGAGGAAGGTGCAGTTACCCAGGAGAGAGACAGGAGCAGACTCGAGTGGGGTGAGGGGAAGTGTGAAGGCATGCACACACCATGTGCCAACACAGATAGCTTGGAGTGGGGCTTCTACAGGCAATACCACTGCTCTGAGAATCCCAGATCTGAGGTTGGGAATTGTGGGGTTCCTTTTGCTCTGAGTCTGCTCTGGGATCTACCCTCACTCTGATGGGCTCCTACGTTAGAAGAAATGAGATAGGCTCAAATGCACTCTGGGAAACTTCCTGGGATAATGGCACCCAATGTCTCCACCCTTACACACACACACACACACACACACACACACACTAGGCGGGACAAATGATATCATGTGCTTCCAAGGAAAGATAAGCAAAGGCTACCCTCCTTCATGTTCAAGTTTTCTGTTCTTTTCTCTCTGCTGTCTCCACATGACAAATCTGTGCATACAACTATTTGGAAAGTGACAAGCCAAGAAACTTCTATGTCCACCAGGGTCAGGGTCTTAGGCACTGTGACTCTAAACTAACTTTTAATACTTTGGTTTCCCCAATGGTGAAAAAGCTCTACTGGGGAGCCTGCAGGGGGTCTCAGCTCTCATTGGAGGTACAGGGAAAGTAATGGGCCTTCTGGTCCAGAAAAAAGAGAACTGGAAGGTGAGCATGGTGGCCCACACTTTTAATTCTGGCACTTGGAGGCAGAGGCAGGGGAATCTCTATGAGTTCCAGCCCAACTTGGTCTATTATGGCAAGCTCTAGTCCAGCCAGGGCTACAAGTAAGACCCTGTCTAAAAGTATATATAAAATTTTTTTAAAGGGAGAGATACTGGGTGCCCCGCTATAGCCACATGGTTCTGTGGAGTTAGAGAACCCCGAAGATACTGATAGGGACGACGGTGTCAGCGCCCAGCACCTGGATCAGACTCTGCTTCAACCAGGCTTCAGCACTGAATAGCTCGTGAGCACAGAGTTGCCAAGGGCCTCTGAGCCCAGTTCATGGATCTGCAGAATGGGGAGGTGCAAACACTCCCCTAGGGCCTTGGGAATGCTGACAGGCTGCTGCCTGCACAGGGCTGAGTGTTGGAATGCTGAGGAAGTGTGTGTTGAGGGGTGCAGGGCATGAGGCCTGTCTTTCTTTTCAAAGGTTCCACAAGCCACCCCAGACTGGAGCTTGTGGCAGGGATACCCTTCCTCTTTCCACTCAGTGTCCCCAGCCTGATAACGGGGCACCACCTCTCTCCCTTGTCCCTTTGCAAGAGACAGGACTGGGCGGATCCATCCTAAACTGTGGAAGGTTGTTTTAAGGCCCGCTGTTCTTGGCCAACTCTGCCATGCATGAAGTCCTGGACACTCACTCGTGTTCTTCACGATTTCCTCCACAGGACTGACCCTCACATAAAATGTGAGGGAACAGAACTACAGAGCCTTGACCTTTTTAGCCCTCTGGCGGAAAGGGAAGAAAAACCCAAGACAGACAGGTCTTCTTGGGGCAGCCTTGTTAGATGTCTGGAGGGCTCTAGTAGGGTCAGTACAAGAGGGTAACAGCTTCGCGGCTGAGCGAGCTGCCAGAGGAGATGCCCCTCACAAGCCTAAAACCTAAGCAGGTCCATCTCATTGGGATACTCCACCCCTATCGCACTCCCTCCACCCCCTCGCGACTTGTGGTGGCCCCAAGAACCTTCTCACAGGGCGCACAACTGTAGGGCTCCCACAGCTGATCATTCATCTCTGCCGTGTACACTTCGGCCTCTCAGAGTTCTCCCTGTGAATCTTGCTTTTCCATCTACTTCAGAACGTGTGTTAGGTGGCCAAAGCTCAGACTGTCAGAGCTGGGCCAGGTCAGCCTGGGCCCAAGGTATACAGAGATTAGTAAAGGGTAGGCAGGCTGGTCTGATGGGCAAGGGGTCTGGACGGGGTAGGGCTGCACAAAGTCCTTCCCCCCATCTCCCTTCCCGGGTACCCGCCTCCGCCCTCCCACGCACCTGCGCTGGCCTCCCCCCAAGCCCCGGGGCAGCTCTGGGAGATCAGAGGACTCGGAGGAGTCGGGCTCAGGGGGAGGGGGCGGGGAATTTCCCCCCACGCCTGCCTGGGCCTGCTCCCCTCCCCCTCTCCTGCCAGGTGGGGGGCACCGCTTGGGGAATTCCGCCAAGGCAAGGCTCCGGAGAGCCTGGGCTGGGGTCCTAGGGAGTGAAAGAGATGGAAGCGGGAGAGGGGGCGGGCTGGAACCGGGGGCGCAGCTGCCTTCCTCCCCAGACACCAGCTGCCCCTGCCTGTCGTGGACTGAGCGTCCACGATTCCTGTCTGTCTCCCGCGATCAGGGTCAGGGAGTGGCGCTTTCTTATTCAAGCCAGCCGCGGCGGGACCCGGGGAGACAGAAGCGTGAGGATTCCGGGAAGATATGCGTGTGAACGTCTTACAATGAATGAGCGGTTTGAATGGGAGTGCGCGCGCGCACTTAAATCAGGGTGCCTGTGTCCTTTTGACTGGGTGCAGCCGCGGGAGGGAGCCCTGTAACTCTTCCTTTAGGTCCTCTATAGGTCGGCTAACCTGGTCTGTGTCCCTCCATACCCTCCCAATAGAACCCTCACCGACCACGGAAAAGAAAAAAGAAAGGGTGGGGAGGCATGTGTTGGAACGGTGGGGGTCCCGGGGGACAGGCGTGGGAGGCGTCTGGACCTGCTGCCTGCGCTCCAGTCGCGGGCGGGGCTTCCAGTCTTCTCTAGAGGTGTGGGACAAGAGGGGAGGTATCTGTAGGGACACAAGGGGGGCAGGAGGCAGTGCTTTAGAGACTTGGGTGAGGGAGTCTCAAGGTGCAAGGTACAATTCTATGGGGTGAGTGTGTGTGTGGGGGGCCCAGGCATGACCCAGAGCTAGAAAGCCGAGCTTGAGATCATCCTCCGGCCAGATACCTTCCATAGAGATCCCTGAAGAGTGACAGCCGGGTAGAGATCCCGGGAAGTTATTTCCTGGTCCCAGACGGGCAGTGTCGACAAAACTAAGATCAGGATAGAGGATCAAAGGACAACGTCCCCCGCTCCTCAGGTCACCTGGGAGACCCTAGACCCCGTGGGCGGCCCAGGCCGTGTTCCATCCGTCCAAGGCACCATCTTTTTGGTTAGAGAAGATGGGGACACCAGATCTGCAGGGCTTCCTCCTCCTCCTCTTCCCGTTGCTGCTGCCGCCTCACGGGGCCTCAGCAGGGAGCCTGCACAGTCCAGGTGAGTTAGACGAGGCGGCCAGGCCAAAGTCACTGCTCGCCCTAGGGAAGGGGTCCTAAAGCTGGAGAGGCGGGACAGCAGGTGGGTGGAGCAGTTGAACAGCCCAAAGGCCCTCTCGGGAATGGGAACTAGGGAGTACTGGCCGGGACCAGGCAGGGAGCTGGGTGAGGAGTGAGGAAGCCCAGACTTCTCCAGAACCCGCGGTTGCCGGGCAGGCCTGTCCGAATGCTTCCAGGTGAACGGCGCTGACTACCGCGGCCACCAGAACTACACCGGCCCGCGCGGAGCTGGGCGCCCTTGTCTTTTCTGGGACCAGACGCAGCAGCACAGCTACAGCAGCGCCAGCGATCCCCAGGGCCGCTGGGGGCTGGGTGCGCACAACTTCTGTAGGTGAGGAGCGTGTGTGTGTGTGTGTGTGTGTGTGTGTGTGTGTGTGTATGGGTGTATGGGTGGGAGGGTGCGTTTCAGCAAGGCTGGACCAGTGGTGGCAGGAGGCGGGACAGAGAGAAGTCTTTTCTGGCCTGGTACAGTATCCTCAGAAAGATTTAGGGGCGGGCCCTATTTCATACGAGGTTCGCAAGGTTTGCAAAAACCCGGCTTTAAAGATATGTGGGACTTAGACTTAGTTGATAGTTTTCTGCAAAGCCTCCAGTCAGGGCCAGGACAAAAGGGGCCCTGAGATGCTGGATCCGGTTGCACCCGCCCCCTGGAATGATCTGACAGGCTCTGCCGGACTTGCTTGAACAGCTTCTACGTATGAGGAGTCCGTCTTATGAGGAGTTCAAAGCCACAGCTTTCTTCTGGAGCAGCATCTGTCGGGGGCTGAAAAGGGGGCCACTTTTCTGCCCAGCCACAAAGCTTAGGGCTTATCATTTGCGCCAGTTTTATGCATGGGAGAAGTAATGAGGGCCCGCTGAAGTCAGGAGAAGTTCTCACACGAGGTCAAGTCTAACAATCAGAAAAATAAAACCTGCCGGCTCTTATAGAGACTTCTTCTTTGGGAAGTCAACATCCAGGAGCCGGTGGGGAATGTGTACTGACAGAGAGGAGCATGGGCTCTAAAACACACACAGACCCTTGGTGGCCACACTCATGGACCATAGGCCAGATACTGGGCTTCTCACCATCTCCTTCCTGACCACAGGAACCCAGACGGTGATGTGCAGCCCTGGTGCTACGTGGCAGAGACAGAAGAGGGCATCTACTGGCGATACTGTGATATCCCCACATGCCACA